TATTACATTGTTATAACCAAGCAGCTCTATACATTGCCAATAACCCCGTGTTTCACGAGCCCACCAAGCACATCAATATAGATTGTTATGTTTTTAGGAATCAGTTGCTTGCAAGCTTTATAGTTCCACAGCACTTCTCCATCAAACATTAGTTGGTAGACTTGTTTACTAAATCTCTTCATTCACCCCCCTTTACTCATCTTCTATCCAAGCTGGGGTTGGTTAATTTCTCACCAACTCCATCTTGAGGGGGAGTGTAAAGTATATTTATATAGTTTCATTATTTTACTTGTACAACTGTCAGTATGTAATTGGTCCCTTAAGGAAAAAAGTTAAAAGTAGCGTTACTTTACTCTTTAGTGTATATAGTCCAAAAGGGCTCTCTAAGATCATTACATTGTAAGTCAAAAGACCTATCAATAATATTTTCTCTGAGATTTTCTCTCATATTTCGATCTCAATCTTCCTATAAATCTATTTAATTTTGATTTGAGTCAGTTTCATAGAAATTCATCGGTTAGATTTAAAATCGAACCGACATGGCAAAAATCAGTTTCATAGAAATTCATCGTTACTTTACTCGGTTCGAATCAGTTCAATTCAGATACCAATTTTAATTTATTCATGTCTTTCATCCAAAAAACTTTGGTTTACATATTTTGATCTTGGTTCGGTTTAGTTTGAACTGAACCGACGATTTGCTGAACCCAATAAGATGTAAACAAGTTCTATTCTTACAAATTGACCAAAACTTATCTCAATTAACACTAATTTCCCTCTTTCAAAAAAAAAAAAAAAAAAAAAAAACTTTCAAAAAAAAAAAAAAAAAAAAAAAACACTAATTTTCCCTTTCAGGCTTAATTGTCAAACTTTATTTTTTGACCGTATGTTTATGTTTTATGAATGTCAATGGCTTCCTCAACTTATGGCATATTTTGGAAATGTATAATTTATTTAAATTGAAGTAGTTAATTTAAAAAAAAAAAAAAAAAAAAAAACACTAATTTCCCTTTCAGGCTTAATGTCAAACTTATTTTTGACCGTATGTTTATGTTTTATGAATGTCAATGCTCCTCAACTTATGGCACTATTTGAAATGTATAATTTATTTAAATTGAGTAGTTAAATTGATTTTAATCGAAAATTTTAATTATAATATTAATTTAGTTTATTTTATGACCGAAATATATATATAGTTTATTTTAAAATTTTTATTAAAATCAATTCATCCAATTTTGAATAAAATTATATATGGTGAACATAGTAAACAAGTTTTGAAGAGTTATAGGAGTGATTATATATTTACTTCACATTCATAAAAAAAATATTTAATAAATTAGGAATTCAACTCATTCTATAATGTTGCAAACAAATTTATAAAATTTCATTAATTTATTATATTACATAAAAATTGAATTTAGGTAAATCAAAACTTTGTAGAAAAAAAGAAGTATTTTTTAAAGGAAAATTCTTTCTAGAAAAAAATTATTTTTCAGTTTTTTTTTTTTCCAACTTAGTTTAAAGAAAGTAAAACTATCACTTTAATGTTCTGTAGAAAAACTAGACATAGGAAGAAAGAGTCCTAAGAGTTAGTAAGGGAACTTTGAAATTGTATTGATTATGAATTGAATGATCAAATCTAACATAGTTTCATAGTAACTTATGATAATGAACTATTAATTAATTGGTTTTTGGTTTATAGTTATTGTTATTAAATAATTAATTGGTTATAGTTATTGTTAATTAGATCACCATGACAACCACCAATCCCATAGTCTATCATTTTCTTAATTTATATTTTCGTATTGAACAATTTATCAAAAAATTTAAAGTTTTTGTTAATCCGATCTGATCTTATTGGCTTCTCATTAATATAAATTAATATAAGGAGTTAGAGATTTTGATTTTAAATCCTCTCTTTCACTAATTTTGTGAAGCAAAGTGAGAACTGCTCTTATTGTGTGCTCACAAAACTATTTCAGTTAATTAGGTATTCTAATAAGTAAAAAAGAAAAAAAGAAATAGATTTTTTATAACCTAACATTTTGCAAGTTTTTCGCCAATCGAAAGTTTAATATTTTACAATTAATTTTCAATTATCATATTTAAAGTTTTCAGTTATTGAATTTGGACTATGGTCAAAGTTTAAAGTCTAAATTACTCCGTTTTTGGAATTAAGGATTTCAGTTTTAAAACATCATCTCAAAATTAAGATTTCCGCTTATAAATGTTATACAAATACAAAAAAATTAAAAGAAAGATTGGATGAGATTTTGCTGTAATCTGTTTTCTAATTATGCGAATAGGTCATTAAATGTTTTTATGAAAGTTGACTATAGGATATTTGACTTTTCCCTACTATTCAATCCAAACTAAACTTGCTAAAAGAAAAAAAAAAAGTAATATAAACTAAAGAAGTTGAAGTTATTTCAGAGTTAATAATAATTAATAATTATCTACTTATTTTATTAACAAAATCCCTATTTAATATTAAAGTTTTTTTTTTGAAAAAAGATATTAAAGTTATTTTTAGAATTTTAAAATTGTAAATAAAAATGGTTTTGGAATCTTCTTTGATTTATTTAGGGTGAAGTTGGCTTGAAAAAATAATGGCTCGGTTTATAAACAAGACAGAGCCGTTAAAAAATGGCTAAAAATGGAAGTGTGATCGTCACATGGTGAATAGCCAAAAGACACTGTAGAGGGATGAGCATCCGGTTAATCCGAATCAATTTAAACCGAATAACTCAATCCGAATATAACTGAATTTTATAAATCTATTCATCAATCCAAATCATATGTAATATAAAATCCAAAATAACCAAACCCAATAACATGCATTTTTATTACAAAAAACCACAACCGTCTGAATAACCGAATTAATATTTCCAGTTGGTTAATCCAAATCGATTACAAGAAAATATCTAAATCCAAAATTTTTCAATATATGCGTTACTATCTCCAGATTTGCAGTTTGCACTCTTAAAGTAATTATATACATATGCTTATAAATTTATAGACAATTGTATAGAATAAAAATATAAATAATAAAATTAATTAATTTTATACATATGCTTATAAAAATTTATAGACAAATTATATACATATGCTTATAAATTTATAGACAATTGTATAGAATAAAAATATAAATAATAAAATTAATTAATTAATCCAACAAGTCACAGGTATCCAAACAAAATTATAAAGACACTCATATCTAAATCCAACCATCCAAATAACAATTAATATAATTAACATTAAAAGAAGCATTCATTAAACTTTCAGTTACAAAATTACAGTTATTGACCAATTAAGCATGACGTTCTTTGTCAATGATTTTAAAAGTTATACAATATTATTGTCATCTGTTACAAAAACTATATAAATATAATTTGCACTCTTGGTTTTATTTTACTATGGAGTAAAAACGCAACGTTTTGACAAAAAAATTTCTGAGATAAAAAATATATATATCTTGAGTACTAATTTGATAAAAGAATATGTTGTATTATTATATTCCATTGATAAAAAAAAAAAATCCAAAACTCGAATATCTAAAGTCTTCCATCATAAGGAATCAATAATTTATTTATATTTAAAGAATAAGTAATATGTAAATAAGTGTAATTAACCAAACTAATAAACATTAGAATTTTTAATTTTAAGCGTTAATTTTAAGTTTTTCAATTTGTTAAGTTTTAAAAAATAAAAACATCGCCACGGTCTAATAGTTTTGTTTTTATTTATTAGTTAAATAAGATGCAGACGAAATGTACACATTAGTAACAATATAAATTCACAATAAATTAGCTCAATATATAAATTTAACTATATACTTAAAAAAAAATCTTATGACTTCTTTTAACTTTCACTTTGATAAATCTCAGCTGGGCGTGACAAATCAATTTTTATGTTATTTTATTAGCCCCTGCTAATTTGTTTTTTAACATCCACTTGTAAATGGGTCGGATCATTGACCATTATTCCCTTTATCAAAAAAAAATAATTTATTTTTTCATTTTTTATTTGTTCTAAAATATAATTCACTTTACTTTTTTTTTTTTGCATTATAATTAATTCTTAAAATGTTTATTGTATCCATATTAAATTTTATCTTATTTTTAATATTTTTTTTTGCATTATAATTAATTCTTAAAATGTTTATTGTATCCATATTAAATTTTATCTTATTTTTAATAATTATTGTTAATTATTACTTATTATTCCAATATAATAATTGCTCATTTGTTATTTAAGATGAGAATGATGAAAAAGTTATATGAATAAAATTGTCTTTTAATAATTGATAATTTTTTAATCTGTGTGAAAATAAAAAGTGGATTATCTTTTTGGATGAAAAGTGTAATAAATAGACAAAGCTCCATCCAAATCACTAAGCTAATAAAGCATTACTTAAAGAAATATTTTTCCACATTTGGTATAAACAAATTTCACAAAATTTTAATAAAATTCAATTAAATCCTTAAATTGTGGTAATTTGCTTAGATTCGGTTTATAAATCTATTCATGGATTAAATTGATGAAAAAGTAATATTTAATTGAAACAATAGTGTTTCTTACCATTTACTGCAAAAAAAAAAAATGATAACATTTTTTAAAAAATCTATGTTTTTATTAGTTATAAGGGTGAAACCATAGATTTGTCCATATTAAAAATAATATTCATTTTATTAAATTTTCTAAAATTGAATAAAACTAATCCAATTATATTAAAATAAATTCCACAAAATTAACAGCTTCGACTTCTCTCTCTCTCTCTTCTTTCTGTCTTCCTTCTCTCTTTTTTTTTTCTCTCTCTCTCTCTATTTTAGATAACTATTTCAGACTTGAATGAATTATAAATATTTTTTTTAAATACGAAATGTATAAAATTCAATTGTAATTTATAATGAATGCATAACAAACAAGCTTTTATGTCAAGAGACAATATGGGCTTTTAAAGTTGGGCTGGTGTATGTAAAGCCCATATCTGAGAACGTCTTCTTCCCAGGGAAAACTGCATAAATCTGCAGTTACATTTTCTTTCGCTCGATTGACAGCAAAATCATACTTAAAAGGGAAAGAGCTTCAGTAATGGAAAGCTTGGTCCAACGTTTTCCAGTCCCTCACAAGAACTTATCCCTAAACATCAAGGTATAAGAAAGCCTAATTCTTTTTTTTGTTGTATTCCTTTGACGGTTCAATTCAATCTTGTTGCTGTTTCTTTTCTTTATTTTAAATATTTATTTTTCAGCAGATGATATGTTCGCTTAAATGACTAGGACGATTTCTTTATGAATACAGCTAGAAAGAACTTTCCTTTAGTCGTTGCAGCTTCTCAGAAGCACTTTATGATTAATGGCTCACCAAATTTTGCATAATTCAATGCATTAGATTCTGATTTCTGGGTAGTGGTTATTTTTGAGTGAAATTGCTTGAAAGAATAAGTTTGTGAGAGTATGTATTAGAATATACTATTGATAGTAAGTTGGAATATCTGCTTTGTCTGTATTTTTTAAATCTTAACTTTCCGTTGAGTTCTTCTCAATTGTGTATATTGAACTGATTCAAGATATTGTAATTATAAAGTTTGAGTGAGATATTTGAGTTCAATCACTAGCAAAATGAGTGTTGTTATGAGTGCTTGATGTTGAGAGACTGTTAAAGCAATGTGTCTTATAACTTCTTGAATTTTATTGTTAATTGAAACAACTTAGATGTTTAATAAATAAAATGGGTGTTTGCTTCCGGTTTGCATTGTATTTTTTGGCAGTTATACTTCTTATTATCAGTGGAATGGGAAATTCAAATTTATAGGATTTCCTTCCTCTGTATTTTCTTTTCCAACTACTAAACTTAAGAGTAAGAATGTACTGGTTACTTGTTTGAGGTGTTAAATGTGTCATTACTTGGTCTAGTGTCTATCGGTCAGCAATGGACAGATAGGCCATCCTAGCAGTGAAGCTTCAAATTGCTTACTGCATAAACCATATGGGGTATTGTCATTCAAAATACAATACATCGCTATATATGCTAAGGTCTCTTCTTTGTATGTTTCTGTTTCAACTACATGAATCTACCTCAGTAGTAAGTATTTTGTGATCAAAGTTTCTATCTTTGCTGCACCTGAAGTAAAAACTGTGGTTAGATTTTGCTTCTGAAGTTTTTCTTCATCAAATATTCTTATTTATGCTCTCTCTGCTCAACAGGGAAACAAGACAGACATAGTCATTTGCAGTTATGATGACCATTTTTTTGTGAGCTTTGGAATCCCCATTTGTTCGCATTCGGTAATGCCTGCTTATTTCTGTGAGGATGTTTCTGATGTTTATAACACTTCTCAGGTGATTGCTACCCAAATAGGAACCATGGGGACAATACTGCATGCCAGGTCTGGATGCTTTCTCATTGTACTAGATAATCACTTATTGTTGTAATGCTTGATTCATTGTGATATCAATTTTATAGTTTCAACTTTGTAACATTTTCCAGAATCTACTATGTCACAAGTTTGGATTGTCAATTAGAAAGTAATAAGATATAAGCCTATTTTAGCAATAACCTTTTTATGGCCATATGATCATCTTGAATGATTGGGTGTGTTGCATTTTTAGCATATTCAGTTTTCATAATTTCATGCATGCATATAATGCCCTATTCAAACTAATTTCTTTGCATGAAAGATATTATAGCTTTTTCTGCTGTTTTCCCTTTCTTGTATCTTTTCTAGTGCTATAACGACAGGTTAGGATCGAGTTGGATCTGGGTTACAATTTTTAAAGCTCAAAGAAAGAAAAGCTTGAAAAAAAAAGACGTACTAATAGATGCTTTTCAATTTCAAGCAGATAAAATAATCTATGCAAATCCAAGATTTGATCTACCATTTTCTGGTTCACTAGAGGGGAAGATGAATTAATCGCTAATATTTTTTACTTTGTTGCAGGAAGGAGGAAGGAGTGTCAATCAATTCCACATACAGTGTCTCTGTAATATTTGGTAAACGAGACGAGGTAAGCTACATAGTTTGCACACGCTACAACCTCTTCATTTGATCTTAACTTATGCTTGATCTTGGTTGAGCATGCATATATGCAGGCAATGTTAGTAGCTTGTGCTCGACAACTGATTGAACACATAAGGTATTTTCTTAATTCATCATCATAGGTATGAGTATCTGATGATGCATCTGATAAACATACATATTTTACTTATTTTTGTTTGTAATGGTAGCAACTCGGGGTCCTCCAGGCCATTGGTGCTCTCTCTTGGTCTTAAAGACCATTCCATGGTATGGTTCAAAGATGCCATCTTTTGAATAATGAAATTTATACACACATGTAGAATGAAAATCCATATTTATTTATCGCAGGAGACGGTGAAAGAGATTGTTTCTGCCATTGTTGAAAATCGTATGTGGTAACCAATTGCCGTCCAAAATCTGTTCTAGCTTCTGATTTGATATACTGATAAGTACTTGACTCGTCCTGGGATATGAATTAATGAGTTTAGATCTAATGAATTAAATTTTGTTTAGCGTTCCTGTAGTTGCATAACTCATTAATGATAAAAATTAATAAAATTAGTGAATTGATCTGCAGATTCCTTAGTTAAAAAAGCACCATTTTGCAACTATAGCTACACTACACCTAATCAATTGTGTTATGACACCCAGCCAGTAATTTTTATTCTTTTTTTTTTTTTAAATAACATATTGCACACTTCAAATCCCAGCTGTTACGAGATTTTGAATATCAAACAAAATTAAAATTAAATGCATACGATCAATTCCAAGTCTGGCAAGGACAGAGTGCCCAATAAACAACAATGTTTTATTGCATCTAAACGTTATTATACATGTACCTGTATTTTGTTATATTTACTTTTAAGCTCGTGGATTTAAGCCAGAATAAAGTGACCCCGTCTTAAATTCAAAACTCAAACCAAACTACAACAGTTGATGTGAAAAACCCAGAAAAAGGGCAACTGACTATCAACTATCAAGGATATCTTTCTTGCTTATTGAAAGTAAAAGAAAATAGGTCTACGAATTGGCCGACTCCCTATAAATCCAAGCAAACAAGCACCACGCCACAGAGCCTGAGTGAGAGCATGTGTGACAGAATGAAAGAAAGACAGCCAAACTGTACTATAATTACATTTGCTTCAATAAATTACAACATGTCTGCACATGATGTGAGACTCTAAGGAATGGCATCTCGAAATTTGGTGTCTGCCTTTAACACGTTCACACATATGGTACACTAGAAATTTCAAATTCTTAAGATGCCTTCATACCTCTTGAGTGCTAGGAAGATCCTCACAACCTTTTGCCACTGGAACAATAGTCTCGCCGCTGTACGTCATTCTCTTCACTTGTACACCAAAGCATTCAATTGTTTTTCTAACTGCAAACAGGAAAGAATTTAAAAGTTCAGGCAAGAGATTGGATCGCATCTATCATTGCAAATATTAAAAAGTATAAGATCTTTGATAGAATTTCGCTAAAATTTGTGAACTTTCGTAATTAAGCCATTCATATTTCATGAAGAGAACATGAAGAAAGGGGCAAGTGCTCCATTTTGCATATTGCATGCAACTCTTTTGAGCCAATGATAATATGTGATTAGAATTTTCCATGAATGTAGGTCAGTTTAGTATGATAACTCATTCTTGCCTATGCTAGGTGTATATATCCAGCCAATATGATTCACCCATTAGTGTATAAGGCAATTGCCTATACCTAGTTTAGGCAATAATTTTTCCTTATGATGAACTAGATATAACAATGAACTTGGAAAATAAAGATAAAAGCGCACCTGGGCATTTTTCATCTTCTGTCTCTGCAATTCCTCAACAAGGCTTCCAATACTGACAATTGAGATAAGGTTCAGCTTCATATATTAGCAATAATAATTTCAGAGTTCTTAATTGACATAAATCTTACCTTTGTTGTAGGTTAATCAACTGAGCCTGCAGCTCCTTCTCCCTAGCAGAAGGTGATATCTGTATGTTGCATAAAATTAAGATTACTTGATTAAGAAGCAATGAGTTTTTTATAAAATGAACTTCTTTGCAAGGAACAAAGGGTAAGAGGCTGCACCAACTCTCACAGCTCAGCCAAGTTATTGCTGATTTTGAAAACAATTTTACATATATAATTACTAAACTATGAATTCACTAACATGTATACTTAAAAACTATTATTGATATTGAGATAATACAAACAGCAATCATTACATGCTGTCATCCATAATATAAGTATGAACCATTGCATTCACACACACATAAAGAAAAAGGATATGATGATGATGGAAAAAAAAAATAAGAAAAGAAGTACTAGCTTATTATTGCTAATTTCTTTGAAGCCTGAACTATAGATAACATTCAAAGTGGCTCGTTGTAATTGTAACACCAATCCAAGAAGTTCTTGCACAAAAAAAATACCAGGAAAGGGATAAGCACCTGCAAAAGGTCATTCGCCATTGCTTCAGCTGACTCCGTTTGCATTTGTTTGCCTGAATTTAAAACGAGTCAACTCAAGCCAAATAATCAACGCATACAGGATTAATTGCCAATAACAGAAATGATTAACAAAGGAGAGTTTTACCAGAGCTTTGCTCCACAAACTTGATCAATTTAAGAATTTCTTCCTGTCAACAACCATTTGAACAAGTATTTTTGAGAAAGAGCAAATTTACAATGAACAACATAGTGTTTTACTATCAATTAAAGGAAACATACCCTCTGCAAGGCATTCTGCTGCAAGATGCATTGCAGTGATGGAAGGACTGAAGCAGCTGTAACATTTGATACTGTTGGACCTCCTCCGCAAACTGGGCTGAAATAACAGTTTGTAGGACCCTGAAATCAGAAGAATAATTGCAATGGTTAAAAAGCCATTGCCTAAAAGATAAATTTCTAAGTTCCATTCTTAAGATTGCACAACATCACAGAATACACAGTCAAAGTCGAACAGAGAAAGGAAAATAAATTTAGAAAATTTTCACAAATCCCTATGTTAAACAAATTAAACCAGAAGCATTAAAATTTTATCATAGGGCATCAATTAGAAACCAAATAATCATATATCAGGTTAATCATTACAGATGCGTCCAGCATAAGGCCGTAGCTTGATAAACCAAAACAAATATATGAAACCGCACATCTATTATGTAGCTTAATCCAAGGGGAAAAACAACTGTTGCTCAAAGTGCAATTTCATCAATATTTTACTAAAGCATAGAACGGTGATTCCATGTTTTCCTTTTCTATGGCACTGCTGTTATTTAATAGCCACCTCGCTAAAAAGAAACCTTACATGGACTTTCCCCAATACAAATGAAATTCACCACAGAATGTAAGCAGAGATTTTATTTTCAAATGAAAGACAAATAGCAATCGCATTACAAGACTCAGAATTCAGACTTGTACTGACCAAAAGGTTTTCCATGAAACTACAACCACATTTTTTTAAAAAGACTACACTCCCACATATTCTCATCTGCTATATATGAACAAAAGACCAAGAGCATATCTAATCGGCCTTGGAAATGTATATTGTAATTCCAAGAACGTTATGCAATAACTAAATAAAATTTTGATGTAAAATCATAAATATAAAAATAAAAATAAAAATATCATAAATAATATGGATTCCTGTGAACCAAACAGGAAATAGAATCCTATTCCAAGATTTCATTGCATAGTTCCAATATGAATCAAACATTAAGTGTCACAAGATTTAATAGGCTATAATCTTTCCTGACATCAGGGTAAGATCAATTGGCTTCCGGCTAAATAAAGGCCGGGTTAAGTAACCTGAGACCATAGCATTTTGATCAAACATACCTTCGGACTCAGATCTGCTGAAGTGACCTTGAAGCGTCCCTTGCGTTGGACCACAGCTCCTTCTGATAAATCCTCAACTGTACAAATAGAACATACATTTTTCACAGAATATAAATAAGTAAAATCATTTATTTGCATCTGTCTAAGGAGCGACTAATGTGATCATAGAGCTTACTTACCAGATGAAAGATTATTGGTATCTCTTTTCTGTCGATATAACAATGGACCACTATAGTTCCGCTCTGATTGATATTTTGGCTGTAGAAAATCCCTAAGAACATTTTAAAATACCCAATCCATTGTTAAATACTGGAACCAAACTGTCGTTTGGATACATGACACTTCCAAAAGCAACCAAAGGTCAAGTCAATTTGAAGATTAGATCAAATTGACAACAAAAATCAAGACAGTATTGTAACCAAATAAAAAGACGGGACTTAATTCGTGACTTCTAGGAGAAATCAGAATCGAGCTTGTTCATATGAACTTCAAATTTAAGACTATCCAAAAAGAGATTTAAATTAGATCATGGGCTATGGTTAATATTATAGGTATTCATTGATCAACAACAACCACCTTAAAGGAACCCCTGTCAACTGATTTTTCATTTAGTGGTTTTGCCAATCAATAAAACCGCCGTAGTTTGTCAGTTTCAGCAATGCATGGGCAGAGCATATCTTTGTCATTAAGCAGACTTCATAACATATGTTAGACATTTAACAGTTTTTGTCTTTTAACTACTGTCAAATTCAGAAGTGTTCATTAACTGGACTCATATTTTTCCACTCATGCAATACATACTCAGTTGTCACATAGCAGCTATGAGCAGCTCTGGCACATGGAACCCACATGATATACCCTTATCTTAAATCCGATATGTAGTTTAGCAGAGAGAAACTATAACATGACAGTCAAATATCAAATAGCTTCATGCAGTTCTCCCATACATCAGTGAGCAGAGGATTTTAAGGAAACATAACCTTTTAGACAGTGAATGAAAAAGCATTATAAGCATTTCAAATACATCTAAAACTTCTTTTTTGCCCAATTCATGGAACTCCAAAATTTGAAGCTGCTAATAGCAACATGTAACTCTTTATAGGAGATTAATGAAGTAAAAGTTCTATCTTGTTCCATTAAGGGACAAAAAAAACATGTCAACAATTCATCTGTTTCAAAAAAAAATTAAACAATAAAACGAAAGACAGACAAAATCAACTTCATGTAGAATATGAAGCCTCACCTGTTTTCATCCCCAGCGACCTTTTTAGGAGAAAAGGCATTTTCTGGAATTAATGGACTGCTCAAAAATTTCTTATGCTCCACAACATGACTTGGTAAAGAACTGCAACGTGGAGGATTATCACCCTCATTTCCTTCACTTTCTCGGTTTACATCACTTGGTGACAATTTTGTAAGAACCTGTTGTTCAGAATCTGTTTGAGCGCCTTTCCAACTTGGACTAGTTGCATCCACATCATCATCACCAACATCAAAACAGCCTCTGCATACAATACATGGCCACATAATATACAGGATATGTTGCTATGCCACAATTGTAGAAAATGCAAAGCCACTAGTTGATACCATACTATATAAAAGCACAGGTCAAACATGGTAACACTTTTCAATGGATCGAATGAAGCTCACGATCTCTTTTAATGTAAAAAATATCACCCATTACACTCAGGGCCAGTTAATTTCATGAAATCTTGAGCAATTAGAACCAGAAATGTGAAGCCAGGATAAAAGAGTATGAAAAATTGAAAAAGGAGTCTTACTTAAGTGCTTGAAGAGGTTTAATAGGAAATGAAGCAAGTGAGTTCTCCAAATCATGAAGGTGATTGAACCCATCCTGATCCTGAAATTAAAGGTTGATGTGAAATATATGGCAGAATGAGCTGGAGTCCATAGTTTACAGGAAATTTCTGACAAGAAGGGGGAAAACTGCAGGCAAAACAATGGCATGGAAATTGATACCTCATGACTAGGATCAGCTGTTGAATGGTTAGCCTTTTCATTGGACAGCCTCTCAGCTGGAAGCTCAACATTGTTGTGTATATCCACGTGCTTCACACTCACACGTTGATCCTCTGAATTTTGTATGGCATCATAATCCTGAATCTGTAGGTAACACAGTGACAGCGACAAGTTATTGCATACTCATGTCCACCAATTAGATTATTTATACAAATATACATGCATCAAACCACAAACTGAAATTACTCACAAGAGCAGCCTGACTTTTCAAATCCTCAAGGTTGAAATTCCAGGCACTGATTCCTCTTATGTACTCTTGCTGCATCATGAACAGTGATAAATTAACACTGGCATCAAATTTTGGCCCAAAGAATCAGAAACTGTATGCTAATTTGATTAAGTAAAATACCTCTGTGCAATATACCAACATATGCACACAAAGAGACACACAAATAAGTAAACACTTTCTCCTCACAATTAAATAACTAAGAAATATGTATTCCATGTTTGCAAAGTTGCAAAGCACCAACACTTGAATATAAACAAATTTGTTCAGTAGGATGGTGGTGAAACGGAAACACTAAATGGGAGTGAATGTTGGGTACCAAATGCCCAACATGTTTACAAGATGAATATTGTGGAAATGTGAATGCTGAGATGGATGTGTTGTTACACAAGGTTGGAATAGATTAAGAATAGTCACATTAGACGAAAGGTGCAAATTGCAAATAAAATGAGAGAAAGACGCCTAAGATGGCATGGTCATGTATTACATAGACCCCACATGCCCCGATTAGTAAATGTGATACGTTGATAATGGAGGATGCTACAAAGGGAAGAGGTCGACCTAGAACTGTTTGGAGGGAAGTTGTTGCAAAGGATTTACGATCTTTCGATATTAACGAGGATATAACTATGAACAAAACAGAATGGAGACAAAAGATTCATAGCTATATCCTTGTTAGTTATTGCTTATTTTATGCTTTGTTCTACTTATTAATATATCCAAATGATCTTAAAATTTTCTTTTCAAAATCTTTTTTCTACAAAAAGTACTTAAAAATCTTTTTGGACTGAACTTTGCTTTGCATTGATATTGATCAGAGCGGAAATTGGAAACAAAGGAGTCATATAGACGACACCAACTAGCTTGGAACTAAGACTTGGTTATTGTTGTTGTTTCTCAATATAATGGATCTATTAAGAGTGAGGTACTTTTTCTTTGGTTTATATTAGTTGGGTTTTTAGAAAGAGAAATTCTTCTTTAGAAATGAATTTATAATCTTGAATTGAGCGAGAAATGGGCAAGTGAGTGATTATTTTTTTGAATGTATTTGATATGAAAGGGATCCATTCGTTGATGCACACATTATTCCTTGTGGCATTGATTAATGTTTTTCTTTTTTTTTTTTTTTTTTTGAATTAAAAATTTTTCTTTTCAAAATCTTTTTTCTACAAAAAGATACTAAAAATCTTTTTGACTGAACTTTTGCTTTGCCTTGATATTGAAATCAAAGAGCGAGAAATTGGAAACAAAGGAGTCATATAGACGACACCAACTAGCTTGGAAACTAAGACTTGTCTATTGTTTGTTGTCTTCTCAATATAGATCTATTAAGAGTGAGGTACTTTTCATTGGTTCTAATATTAGTTGGGCTTTTAGAAAGAGAAAAATTCTTCTTAGAAAATGAATTTATAATCATTGAAATTGAGCGAGAAATGCGGCAAGTGAGTGAATTATTTTTTGCTGAACTGGATTTTGATATGAAGGATCCATTCGTTGATGCACACCATTTATTCTTAGTGGCACTTGAATTAATGTTTTTCTTTTTTTTTTTTTTTTTTTGTGAATTCTTGCAATTCCAGGAACCGTTAGTTAATTACTTAGTCATTTATCTATATATTTCATTATTCAACTTATATGTTTTTTTTTTTTTTTTTTTTGTGAATTTTGAATTCCAGGAACGTTGTTAATACTTGTCATTTTCTATATATTCTTATTCAACTTTATGATAAGAGTTTCATAGATGATGCTTATCCCTTATTTCACCTCTTTGCGTTGTTTTTGTTGTTACTCACATTCCTCTTAGGTATTTTATCTGTCTTGTTCTTCTGTATCTTTAAAAAAATCGAATAAATAGAGAATTAAAAAGTTGAGTGTTGTTGGTCATGAAACTTTGAGCAACAGCGAGAATTATGAATAATACAAAAGCACGGGTGTTTGAGATAACAGAGGTTGGGCATGGAGGAGATGGAAAAATTGTTACAGAAAGAGGAAATCAAGCTGACAGAGAGAGAGAGAGAGAGTCGGTTAATGTGTGGTTGGCTTAAGTGAAACTTTGCATTTCACTTAACTGAGCTTGGTTCAGAAGGGCATCCACTTTTACATTTTTTTTTTAATCACAAATCTAACCCCAATTTCATTTTAAGTTGCAATTAGACCAAAAGGTGGAAATTGGAGTGCTTGGGTGATAAAGGTCGATTTAGAGTGCAATTTTAGAAGGTTGAGAAGTTAAGAATCTTTCTAGTGTTTTTGCCCCAAATTTTGGCCATTCTTTAGTTTTTGTCAATTACATCATCAACCTGTAATTTTTGTTCAATCATGGCTGATCTAAAATTCCCTAGAGCTGAATGTCTTCCATGCCTAGCTGTGACGAATATGGCATGGGCCAATGCTCAACCAACCCTGACAAAGCATAGACCAGTGGTAGCTTCTAGAGATGTCAACAATTTAAGCAGAAATTAGAATTTTAGATAATATAATCCGTCTAATCCTTTAATCAAAGTGCAGAGGATCCAGATCAAAATAACTAGGATGATAAAAGAATTTAACAAATCTGCAAATTTCACCTGTGATAATTGCTCCTTATCCTCATATAGAGCCTTATTCTGAAGAAGAAGATCAGCCTCTTTCACCTGAAAAATGAAAAGACAGAAGGCTGAGGAATTATGAAGCAGTCATGCCTCATTTAGCAACTAAATTGCAAAATAAAATATAGTTTGAGGTGATCAGACCTTCAGAATCCTAAATCGTTCCCCTAAAGGAGCAAGTCCATCAAGAATGGTGCGAGCAAGATATTCATTCGATCGTGCATGTTTAAAAAATGGGTGCTTCAAAAGCTTTTCTGACGTGGGACGTTTCTTTGGATCCTTCACTAAGCAGGCAGCTACCATCTCTTTAAATGACTGAAAGTGTCAAACATTTTAAGGCCAATTCATGAGCATAATAGTGAAAATGATTCAACTGAGTAACACAAACAAACCTTCGAAAATCTCTTGTCTCTTTCGTAGTCAAGTCCTGGAGGTGCATTTTGTAAGGTCATCAGCAAAACCTACAATGAAATAACCAAATCATGGACCAGTAAAATAAGCACCAATGAAATATTTCTAGTATGATGGTAAACAGCAGAAATTAAATTTACTTTCATCGGTGGATACTTGGAGAAAGGAGCATGGCCATGGGCAAGTTCAAGAGCAGTTATTCCAAATGACCAGATGTCTGCCCTGTTGATAGAAACAAAATTGTAGACAATCCTCAAACACATAATTCTCAACATCAGAGTAACAGGGAGAAAAGGTTATAAATTAAAAAAAAAAAAAAATCCACAGCCCACTCACTTAAAGTCATATCCATGTAATTGTTGCATAACTTCAGGAGCCATCCTGAGAGAAAAATAAAAGAAGAAAAAAGAAAAACATTTCTAATCAATATGCAAATCCATTTGCTTTTAGCAATCAACAATGAGAATTAATTTCACGCAGTACAACAATAACGCGAAGGTCTGAAAATAGCTTAACGAGTTACCAGCATGGAGTACCAACAAAAGTATTTCTGGAACGCTGCCTATCTCCCGTGTCAAACATGCATGCTGACACTCCGAAGTCTGCTAACTTAACTGCTCCATTTCTGTCAATTAATATGTTGCCAGCCTGAAAGGGATGTTCAGAAAGCTAATAAGAATGATAGCGCAGTAGTATGGTACTCCTTGAATTGAATGGCAAATAATGTTCCATGAATAGGAATGCAATGTGCTAGGACACAATCGACAGACATTTAATTACCCTGAAAGCCAGACTACTATGCAGAAATGAATGTAGTATTCAACAAACCTCCCATCACCCCACAAAAAAAAAAAAAAAAAAAAAAAAAAAAAAAAAAAAAAAAAAAAAAAAAAAAAAACATTTCTGAATCAATTATGCAAATCCATTGCTTTTTAGCATATCAAACAATGAGAATTAAGTTCTACGCAGTACAACAATAACGCGAAGGTCTGAAAATAGCTAACGTAGTACCAGCATGGAGTACCGCAACAAAAGTATTCTGGAAACGCTGCCTATCTTCCCGTGTCCAAACATTGCATGCTGACACTCCGAAGTCTGGCTAACTTAACTGTCTCCATTTCTGTCAATTAATATGTTTGCCAGCCTGAAAAGCGGTATGCTTCAGAAACCTAATTAAGAATTGATAGCCGCGCAGTAGTATTGGTACTCCTTGAATTGAATGGCAAATAATGTTCCATTGAATAGGAATGACAATGTGCTAGGACCACAATCGACACAGACATTTAAGTTACCTGAAACCAGGACTTACCTATGCAGAATGAATGTAGTGATTCAACAAACCTTCCATGCACCCCACAAAAAAAAAAAAAAAAAAAAAAAAAAAAAAAAAAAAAAAAAAAAAAAAAAAAAAAAAAAAAAAAACCTACACAGAGAAAAAAAAAAAAAAAAAAAAAAAAAAAAAAAAAAAAAAAAAAAAAAAAAAAACCTACACAGAGAGAAAGAAAGAAAGAGAGGAGATGGTGAGGGAGGAGCTGATATTCTGTTTTGAGACCACAGATTAAACACAGAAACATACAAGCATAAGGTTTCATAATTTCAATACACGCAAATTATCTTCTCTAAATCTTAAAATTCTGTCAAAGGCTAATAATTAAATTATATCCAAATTGTAAGGTCTCATTGGGAAAGCTAACTGTTTTGGTTTATTTTTCTTTTTTTTTTTTTTTTTCATATCAAGGTTCCTACAACATGTTGCATGAGAAATTTAACAGCCTATAGAAGCCTATGGGTTCCGGCGGAAATAATAACCACAAGAAGGTAATGAAGGAATGATGAGATAAGTGGCATCGCATACCTTAACGTCTCTATGGATTTGACCATGGGAATGAAGATAAACAAGAGCTTTGAGAGTCTCACGCAATAGTGTGGCAATAACAGGCTCTTCAAAACCTTCTGGATAAGCAGATTTCATTATATGAAGGCAGGATCCTCCAGCCATGTAGGGCATCACAACCCAAAGGCTGTGGCCTGTAGTGAAAGAACAATGTGCTCGTAAGACATTTGGATGATCAGTCAAGCTCATTGTCTGTACCTCTCGTCGGATTCCGTCCTGCTCAAGTCATAATAAAACAAGTTGAAGGATGACACATGGATGTTAACCATGGGACTAAAGCAAGAAAAACGAACGAAGGAATGCAGTAGGAGAAGTTTTTTAAGGCTGCTATTTGATAGCTATGGTTAACAGCAAAAATTGTAGGGCAATAAAGAAATGATGTGCACACAGAATAAGCACATAGTACAGTTAAAGATACACGGAAAAAAAAAAAAAAAAGAAAAGAAAAAGAAAAAGAAAAAAAAGGGAGAAAAAAACTAAATAGAAGGACAAGAAAAACAAGGGCATGAATTTAAATTTATAGGAAGTTGAAACCAATACCTGCTCAAATGTAGGTTATGAAATAGGCAATTAAGATGGCTTGGGATTTTGGAGTGCATTTTAGTTAAGTTAAAGACATACAAATAAAGATTTCAAACTACATTAATATTTTCATACATTAAGGAACTGAAATTGAAGCATTAACTTTTAAGTACATTGTGATGGATTAATTTGATTTAATGGCAAGGGAAAAATTAATGTCCAACACACAGTATTTGCATATTGTGAAGCGGTTGGCATGATGAGCAAGTGTATGAAGCACCAAAAGTAGAAAAATCATGACCATGCAACAAATGTAAAGAAGAAAATGGGCATCCTGATTATTACAAGTACAGCCATTAAATAAACATGACTATTGAAAACTTCTAATGAAAATGTAATGCTTACCAGGTCATTGTTGCACCTTTCCAGATCAAGAACCTTAATAGCAACTGTCTCATTAAGTGGAATGCAGAGAGCCCTATAAACAGTGGCGCTCACACCTTCACCAACTTCTTCGTATAACTTATAATCTTTTGCATTAACAGGATACTTCTTTTCCAAAACGTGCTCCATGATTTCCTGTTATAGCACACCATCAACACCCCCTTTTACTCGTAGATGTACCAGCAAACATGTAAGAAGTATATATGGAGAAGGCAAAGACTAAGTTGATGCGGGGTTTCTTCCAATTTGGTAGCATGTCCCCCTTCTTCAACATGAATTGTTACATGAATCCAGTGGCTTCATCAAAGTGATATTACAAGCTTGTTTTCTTGCATGTAGAACCATCGAAATTCCATAAACTTAAAAATCTTTGTTACTTCCAAAATTACATTAGAAGATGACTATCTCCGCATACAGCTAAGTTATGTATCCAAGAATGAACAAAAACGGTAGTCATGTATTCTTGACTGAACTATCAGAATTAGTTCTGGATAATTAGATAATACTTAAGCTGAAAAAAGGATAAGCAAGTAGAATTGCAGAATGCCAAAAACACAATTACACTCCCAAAGCCAAGCACAATGCCCTCTGATTCAGGTGCATGTAAAGTTGAACAATAATTATGCTTATATGATAATGTATCCAGAACTCATACAAAACCAAAAGGCGGCAGTAAAAGCACGAAGTCAACCTGCATTAGAGAGAGAGAAAAAAAATCATCAGTTCCGTCTTCAGAAAAAAGAAAAAAAAAATACCCTTGTTAATGTTTTCTTTTAGTGGAAGGTGGGGAAGTATTAAAGTATCATGTTAGCATAGAAAGTATATCAAGTAAGTTGAATATAATAGCTTAAGAGACATTGTAAACAAAACTAGAAACAAGTTATTCTCCTAAATCTCAACCTAATTCTGACAAAACCAACCAAAACGAGCAAATCAAGAAATGTCCGAAAAAAAGAACTCAATTTGAGTTAGCAAAGTTTCCCAATAATCATTATATGAAAGGGAAAAAAAAAAAAAAAAAAAAAAAAAAACGAGCAAAATTCAAGGAATGTCCGAAAAAAAGAACTCAATTTGAGTTAGGCAAAGTTTTCCCTAATAATCGATTATATGAAAGGGAAAAAAAGAAAAGGAAAAAAAAAAAAAAAAATTTTCATGCTACTAGAATCACTTTATTAAAAAAATCGATGCCTTTTCATTTCCCTTTCAGTTCTAGACGGTCACTCTACAATTATGATCAGATACTCTTCCCAATTGGACTAACCACATTCACCGAGGACTGCATTTGGCAAGCATTTTTTTTCTGGCCTATTCCTATAGTTTATATAGATATATACTATATATTATTTATGTTATGTAATATATATATATATATATATAGTATATATATATAAACTCTAGCCCTCTAAAATGTATAAACGTCCTTGAATAGCAAAAACCAATATATAAACTTAGCCCTCTAAAAAATGTATAAACGTCTTGAATAGCAAAAACAGCAAGGACACTTAAAAGCTAAAATAAATGAAGCTTTCAGTAAATTCAAAAGGGAACACCTACTAGTAACCAATCTTACAAAGGTCAATCCCATACGATATTACATGAGAACAGCCCTCGTTTCTGATCCGGCTCCATATTCTTTATTCTTTAGATGAACAATTAACGGGCAAAAAGAAAGGAAAAACAAGTGTGCAACTTTAGGATCCAATTCACAAATCCCAATTCTCCCATTTGCTTAAGCAACTCAAAATCGACTACAAATCAACATATCCAGTCAATCTCAAATCATCGAAATCAACGTCAAATTCCCCAATTAAACCATCCCACCCTCGAAAATGAAAATTACACAAATATAAAAGTAAGTTCAACTAACGAAAAACTAAATTGAAAAAGTCAAATTCTGCCAATTAAACATAAGATTCATAGAATCAGTAAGTAAATAAAGAAAAAAATGCAGATTCTAGGGTTCGGAACTGATTGCAACCAACCTGCTTAGTTAAACTGAAAAGCAACAAAAGCGACGTCGGTTTCAGCTGATTTTTTTTCTTTTGGTACTTGGACTGTGACAAAGATATAGTTACTGGTTGTATCGAAAATTTCTCTCTATAATTCTGCTTTGTATCCAAGAAATCTGCAGCGAATTGAGGGTGGAGAGATCGAATCTACCCTTTTATTTCCTTTTCTTTTCTTTTTATGGTTGGGGGATAGAAGAGAAAATAACAGACATACAAATGGGAGAACAAAAATTAAAATAAAATTACGAAACGAAGAAGAGAGTGAATTTCGAGAGAGAGGGAGAGAAGCAGCTGCGCTGCGATCGTATTGCTAATGGGAAATGGTAAGTGGGGCCCCAAGAGATTTGAGTTTTCAGTAGGTGAATATCTCGTCAGTTTATCGTTTTCTGTTTTCTCACATTAAAACGGATAAGGGTTTTTTTGGGGTTTTTACTTTTTACAGTAAGATTAAAGTTAAGGAAACGTTTGTTATGGTTAATTGGTGGTTTTGTTTTTTCTAGAAAAAATAAACAAAATGTGTTATGTTTATCTCTTAGTATTTTGTTTTTGAACTTTTCCATAAATCATTTTTTAATTAGAAAACAAAATTTACAAAAGTGTAAATTCTTGTTCATGGAATTTTATAAAATTTTTACAATACAAATTTTATAAATTAGTTGATATTTAGGATATATTCGACAATATTAGTTATTTCAGTAACTGTTAGTATTTTACGAGCTTTTAACTGTTATATATTAAATATCAGCTGTTAGCTATCTATATTAGTTGTTAGTTTTTTTATGTTAGTTGTTAGCTGTTAACTGTTTATATAACTGTTTAGAGTAAATGCTTGATAAAATTAGCTGTTGAATTTAAAATGACAAAAAATGACATTTAAATATGACTATAGAAGTTAACTCATTATAAAAAAAGAGATAATTTATATAATATGTTATTGTTTTTCTATCAAAAGAATGTCAATCTATAGTGTGTACCAATTATATAAATTGAAATCATTATCATTTCTAAAATGATAATACAATTTCCTCATGTATTCCTCTATTAATTCATTATTAACTTATTTTGTTTAAATTTTTATGTAATATAATGTACTCTCTCCGTCCGACTTTATTTGTATAATTGGCAAAACATGCATATTAAAAATTTAGTCAATAAAAGTTATTTTGCTTTTTTTATCCTTTAACTCATTAAGATATTAATAAAAGTCATTTATTTAATAAAGGATCATAAAAGTCATCATGGGAAAAATAATTATTTGCATGTATAAATTTAGAAATCTTATAAATATTTTGGGATATCCAATAAAAGAATGACGAACAAACAAAATAGAACGAGATGAGTAATTTTTTAACTTAATTGGAGGCTTGTACTACCATGGCGACCATTGAAAAAAATACTTTAAATTATTATTAATATAAGTTAATTAAAGATAATATAAGTTAATTAATGATAGAATTGTCAAAAAAATTCAACAAAAAATGGAATCGCTAAACCTTATATGAATTAAGGTTTTAATAAACGTTATTTTATCCGCTAACAGCTATTTTATATATTATTTTAGCGAAAGACATAGTGTTTTAATGTAATCAAATCAAAACCCTAAATGCTCTTCGAACGTTGTTGCTAAATGGAGCCATAATTTACATTTAGTAAAGGTAATTGTTATGATTTTTTTTTTTTTTTTTTTATGAACAAACAAAACCCTAATATTGCCCCGAACATGTGTGCAAAATGAGCCATAAACATTTTAGCTAAAGGTAAGTATGATTTTTTTTTTAGCATCATTTTGGTATGGATTTTGAAAGGTTAAGCGTATGCGTTTTTTTTTTTTTTTTTTTAGCATCATTTGGTATGGATTTTGAAAGTAGCGTATGCGTAGAGGCTATGAAGACTGAAGTCTCAATTATTTGTTGATTTTACAAGCTTTATTTTGCAGTTTTCTTTATCAAACTGTTATTTAATTTGTGTTTATATCATATTTTAAATATATTAACTTTATAAAATAGTTGCCAGTAAGATTTTATCACCTTGAAAAAATAAAAAATATATTCATGATACCCAAATATATAATAATAATTATATATTATTAGTACACATTTTACCGTGCATTTCTAAAATTTTATTAAACAACCAATTCATCTGTTATGTGTAATAAATTGTTACCAGCTATTAGCCAACTCGGTGAACAATACTTGGTTTGTAACAAAAAAAAAAAAAAATTGAGTCAAAAATTTTTATATGATTTTGTGTGGATGTTAGAAATTCAATCATTGATTAATTTGGTCACATAAAATACTTGGTTTTCGATTCTGATATTATACTAACTAAATTTATCTGTATATCCAAAATTAGTTGATTAAATTTGAAATAATCAAATCTAAACCGAGACAAATCAATTTGATTTGGTTTTAATCAATTTTTATACCATTATGTTTTAAATTCACTTTATTACACAATTACATTGGATTAGACCAAAATAAAGCATTTCAATTTGGTTAGCTCAGTTAACATTTAACCAGATGCTTACTCTAGTTAGCACAAACAACTAAACTAAAGAGACCCTAAAAATTATAGTTTTCCTTATTACATATATTATTTCCTAAAATCTCCAAATTGCCCTTTCATATTTCTTTCTTTTTTATTATCAAAAAAAAAAATATTTCTTTCTTTTTTATTCGTTCGTTGTTTAGAAAGAACTAATTTATTATTAATAGATTAACATAATATTTTTTTCGAATTTTACTACTATCTTTTGATATCTCTATTAAATATTATTTTCTTAGTTTTGTTAAATTTGGCCGTTGTTAACTTTTTTTTTTCAATTTAAATGAAATCTTTAAAAATTAAAGTAATATTAATTATTTTATTTCAACTTTATCATTATTCAGATATCTGCAAAAAAAAACTTTATTTCAATTAAATGAGTATTAATTAAAGGGATAAATTAGTCAATAAACCGACAAATTTAATGGAACAAGAAGTAATTATTTAGGAGTTAATAAAAAAAAAGCAACTTAGCCAATTATAAATATTTTCTTTGTCCCAAAGATAAGATTGATTTTATTTTCACACAACTAAAAAATAATTAATATTATTTCAACAATAAATTTTACATATAAAATTGTTTAGATCAATAAAATTTACATATTAATGTAACCTGTTTTTTCAGTTCAAGCTATCAAATAATAGAAATAAATATATTTTAATACATTAGTCTCTACTGTTTGAAAAAGAGAGAAATAAATAAACCTATACTTTTTTATTTGAGTCTTCTTTATTATAAAATTTATCTTCATATATTATTTAAAGAGAAGCTATTCCCGGATACGCAGCTAATAATTATTTCAATCATCTGGCCTTTCATAAATTATAAAAAAAATAAAAAACATATATTTTAAGGTATGTTTGATGCACTGTTCCTCTCAATAACACTTCAATTTTATCTCATGAAATCCAAATGCATGACCTCCTAATGAATGTTTCCTTAGGAACCTTTGAGCAGGGGTGCGCAAATGGGCGGTTCGATTCCAAACCGAATCTTAAAATGAAAATAAAAAATAAATATTTTTTAAAATCGAACCAAATCAAAATAAATTTAAAAATGGAATTAAATTTATCTGTTCAATTTTACTCAAAAAAATAATATTTTAAAATAACCAATTCAAATATCAAAAATTAAAATTATGGAAGACTTGAAACCGAATAACCGAACCAAAAATCAAAAATAATTTGCTTCGGTTCGGTTTTTGGTTTTTCCAAAGTTTGCTCACCCCCACATTTGAGGACACTAAAAAGCAAATGATGATAATATAGAAGCTTAGGCTTCCATGAGATTGAAGGAATCTAAATAATGTACTTTTAGAAATTCTTAGCAGTTGACACCGCATAGACAGCTATGCTTGCAAGTCAAAATTTTAGCTAATAGCAACTATTTTATTATTATTATTATTATTATTATTACATCAATCAATAAAAGCATTAATAATAACATTCTCAAAAACATGTTTCTGATGTGCCAGCACTTCCTCATTTTTTGTCTATCTGCCTGTGTTGAATTTCCTTTGGCATGAGCTGCCATTTTCCTTTTATGGCCATTATCCTCTATATATGGCATCTGGACAACTTAAAAAAAAAAAAAAAAAAAATTATCCTCTATATATTGGCATCTGCGACAACTTTAAAAAAAAAAAAAAAAAAAAATCTCAATCAGTTGTCTGCTAATTTTAGAGTTTTTTTTTTTTTTTTTTTTTCTATTTTTTTTTTTTTTTTTTTTTCTATCAACTGCTTACTGATTTGCATTATCTTTGAACTATATTAATCTGATAAAAATAATTACTACTGATTGTTTTCTCCAAATTAGATTTTTATGTGATCATTTATTTATAATGATTTTAAAATAATAAATAACTATTAAATATTATTATGAAAAATTTTAATTAATATTTTTTCTTTATATGACATTTTAAAATAAAACTATATATTCAACTTTAATATATATACCCCTCATACTTATTTTACATTTTAACAACTATCACATTTGAAATTTACTAAACAATTAATGTTTATGAGCTAACCGGCTAAAAGTTACCATCTATCAGCAACCACTAGCTAATATTGACCGGTTAAACCAAACAAACCCTAAAAAGTATAGGCTCCACTTTTCTGCTGTAAAAAATGAAAGAAAGCAAGAGGCTCAAAGCTTGTTTTTTTTTTTTTTTTTTTTTTTTTTTTTTTTTTTTTTTTTGAATTTACGTTTTGAGACTTTGAAGCATGTTCCTTTATGCATTATTTCAAAAAGCATATAAACTTGCAAAATTTATTCATCTAAACTAGTTTACATGAACATTTGCTTTTTTTTTTTTTTTTTTTTTTTTTTTTTTTTTTTTTTTGAATTTACGTTTTTGGACTTTGAAGCATGTTCCTTTATGCATTATTTTCAAAAAGCATAAACTTGCAAAATTTATTCATCTAAACTAGTTTACATGAACATTGCTTAATTAAAGGATGACTAGGTTAGGTTTTCACCCCTTTGTTCCATCTCTATCTTGAAGCTCTCTGTGCGCTCCAGCCATTTCTCATTCTCAAGATGCCTTTCATAGAAGTTGACCTCTCCACCTGATTTCACGGAAACTGCAGAGGTGCTTCTCGTTCCATATCGTCCCTACACATCAAAGCAATTCTTTAGACCTCTCTGCTCAATGTGATTGTAACATAAAGAAGAATGTTCGACAAATAAAAGAATTTTACGTACCAATGGAGTGTCTGTGTCAACAAATATGGAACTTAACTGATGTTCAAATTCAGCAGGATAAATTTTTGGTAACATGTTTTCCTCATCTTTGATAGTGTTCATCATTAGTTTTTCAACCATCTCATTCACGGGAAGCTCACTGTCACCATATTTATCTAACAGATCTTTGAAATTATGGCCCAGTCGCTGAGCCTGAGACAAGAAAAATATGCATCACTCTAATTGATAGGTCTATAGCGTGTGCAATCAAATAATCAGCTCCCAAATTTTAATAACTCAGATGCTCCAATTACAAGATATGCATATTAGTGAACGTAATTGGTGAATTTAATTCACAGCCAAAGCAAACAACAGTTATAATATAGAATAGAATTATAATTTTGATAAGCTGGTAAAATAGAACTGCATGTGACATGAAACACCATCTTACCTTAGGCCAAGAGGAGTCTAGGCTTGAACTCGGTAACACATGTATTCCAGGTGATACATCTGTGATAAAATTGTTTCCTACTTTTGTTCTATTGGTTATGTAAACCATGGATTTGGAATGGATATCAGCTAATATCAGGTTAAACCCATTATACCCATTTGCCTCTTTCACAAGATCCTCGGCAAACTCCTTGGGACTCTTGTTACTCTGCAACCATAAAATTCTGTCACCGCGCCGAGGCTTTGAAAAGAAATAGGTCTTACTAAAAGTAATTCTATTTTTTTTAGAGAAAAAAAAAAAAAAAAAAGAAATGACAAGGCCACATATTGCATTGTTTGAAGAATTGTTGTGAATTCAGTTGTGTGTAAACTAATCATTACAACTCATTGGCAGATTTTGAGGCGTCCGATAAAGACAATAGATGAAAAGAGTTGGAACTTTTAACCAACCAAAGTAATAGAAACATGCTCTGCCACTAAATAGAAGGGACAAGTAGCCATTGAAATAGGATGAGGGTACGCTGAAAATCCTAGTGCACTGAACTCATCTAACAACTCGAGGACTCATGCTTTATCTACATCAATTTATACATCAATGAATAACTGCGAACGAAAATGATAGAATGACTACTTCTAATTGAGGAATCATTAAGTTAAATAGCACTTATTGTCCTTGAATCAAAAATCAAAATTGAAAAAAATAAAGTTACTAGCTTCCTGCATTAGTGACCTGGATCTCATTAATAATTGACAACAATGTGCATGCATTTTCTGGACCATGAGTTCAATACTAGTCTGCTTACTTTGCTATTAAATATCTATAGTGAAACAGGTGTTATATTGATTTCCTTTTCTTAATTCATTATCTGGCCAAACAGAATCATTTGTTGATATATGCCGGTTCACAATCAACAAATGCATACCCTATATTAAGAATCAAGAACAAGCATGAAAACCACAGAAGATCCAGCAATCAGCTAACTAACAGATATTTACAACAACATCCATTACAAGATCAAAAGAGCCAATCAAATATAATTCCGAGAAAACAAGCAAGTGAAACAAGCAGTGAGAAACAAAAGTTACCATCAAGAAATGAATGGGAAGGTCTCCTCTACTTTTGGCTTCAGGGATTGATTCAAGTTCCCTAACATTTGTAACAAAAGCAATCTTACCATCTCTGGTGCAAGCCAACCATGTCCCACCTGCCTGCTCATCTCTCCCACCCAAAATCTGGTCCCCACTTCCCCACCAACTCAATGGTTTTGTTGGCCTTCATAATTCAAAAACCAGAACAAAACCACAATTACTCATTGACTTATTAACACTAATGAACAAATGAAACATAGAAACAGAACACTAATAACTCATAATAGACTTGCCTACTATGGTATTCGTCTCTGTTCAGTAGCAAGAGGAATGGATAAAGAGGATGAGCTTGCCATAGAAACACTGCTATGCACATAATATATCTTAATTTTGCACAAAGATCCTATGCAACAGTGATTTGCTTTGGACCATCAGATGACAATTTTAAGCTGAGAACAATCAGTGGTATTGGTAGTAGGTCTAGTGGCTGCAAATCAAATAATATAGAACAAAACCATAAGGCAAAAAAAATAGTTTAGCTTTCTTTAATTTGTTTTTCCAACAAATACACTTCAGTTTGAAATGAAAATACTTTTTCCTGGATAGCAAATACCAGAAAACGAAAAATTCCTACATGACTAACAAACTTTATTAAAAAGAAAATGGAACTTTTCTTTATCACTCAGTTATCTTTACAATCAGGTATTTCCCCATTGGATTGAACAAATTCACAAGATTGCATTCAGTAAGAATTCCCTAATCCTTATCCCTAAAAATGAAAAAGAAAGCACGTTTATTCATTTTGTAAGCAAAAACTAAGCAAAGAAATACCAATTTACATAAGAAAAGCCCTAAATTCCCAATATTCTTAGAGCAGAAATGGGAAACCAAGAAAAATTAGAGGAAAAAAAAAGTGAATATAAAGTCCCAATTTCCAAAGTTCACATATACAATCAACACAACCATAAAAAATAGAGTCAAATTCTCCAATTAGGAACTGAACAAAAGGAAAAACAGGTGGAAACATAGATTCATACAGCAGAACTGTAGATTATAGAGTTTGGCATACTAACCGGAGGAAGCAAAAGAATCAGAACAAAGACGATGCCAGATTGAAGCTAATATCATCCAATTCTTTTACCTCGTTTTGTAAGACAGCCTTTAATCTCTGAGAATAACAGAAATAGGAACTGGAAAATAAAAATGGTTAGAACCAGAAGAGACAGATGTTCAAAGTGGAAATTCTTCCCTACAACCGGCTGTAGGGAAGAATTAAGTGGCTAACTGGAAAATGGGACCACTAACAGATTTTAGTGTTTTTTCACATGAGATTTTACTTTTAGTTCGGTAGGTGAATTTAATGTCAATTTATCGTTATTCTTCTTTTTCTCGTTAGTTAATTTAGTTTCGGATGTTGGTTAATCTCGTCCCTCTTCAAGTTAAACTCATTTAGTTTGTTCTTTAATTTATTTTGATTAAATTAGGCTTTACTGTGATGTAAAATCACAAATTCATGATTTTGGAAACAACTCCACTAATAATATATGAATAAATTTTATAATTAAAGGTTTTTTTTACGACCACAGGATGAGATAAGATCACAATCGAAATGTGATGTAAGCCCACTTGACAGAATCTGAAACAGTTAAAAAACAAAGAAATTTTTTTTTTTTACAGAAGTAGAGAAATTAAACACGAATAATTATATCTAGGATAAGTTATAAATTTGGAGTCTAAGCTTTTAACTTTTTGTTATTTTAGTGTCAAAATGAAAAAAACATTTATAATCTACTTTTTAAAAAATGCACCAATTACCGGAAAGTTGACTCGCTGATAATGGGCCCTAATTTTGCCTAATCACAAGCTGACGTGAACTGCCAAACAGGTGCTGACATGGAAAAAAGGTTGTATGACATGGCAAGCTATGAGAAGTTTTTTTTATCAATTAACACAAAATGTTATAAGTAAAATAGTTTAAATTATAAAACTTATATATAATTATGCTCAATTATAGTGCCCAATTTGGTTTGAAATTAATTGTTTTAAATTAAATAATCTTGAACATTAACATTGAATTTCGATTAAATAAACAAATAATAATATAATATTCAGAGATTGTAGAGCTCGGCTGTTGGCCCAGTTGTTAGCACCCTACTGTACCGGTTCCATGGGCCAGTAGAGTCCAACTTCAGCTTTGAGAGGTTCGTAGAGAATATAATGGGCCATTGAGGTTGGGCTTGGATATTTTGCCAGATCCACAATAACCTTCACTATTAGCAATAGATGTTCTAAATTAGTTCCATGGCTTGGAAGAATTTATCTTTCATTAACCTTACTCTAATGTGATGATTCCTATATGAAATAGTTTTATGTTGAAGCATATAAGAGATCATACATGAAATTCTATGAGGACATTTTTTGAGTTTTGAAAGTGAAATAGGAGCTAGAGTAGAATTAAATAAAAATATTTAGTTGATCTAGATCGATAGAATGTGCGATTTATGAAATTCATAAGATCCGCAATGTAATTTTACATTTTAGATTTTGTTAAAAAATTAAAATTTATGGATTTGAAAAGTAGTGATTTAAATTTCATTATTTATATAAAAAAAAAACGGTGGAATTTTGAAATGGGAATTCCATTTCTTCTAAAATAGTGGAATTGAGTTCATGGATTTAGCAAAATCATCTTGTGTTTAAATTCCATCAATTGAAGCCACTTTTTATTTTAAATTTTATGTTTTAACTTTTTGAAGTCAAACTTTGCTTATTTAAAAAAAAAAAGAGTATAAATTAATATTGTTTTCATCGAGGGTCTGTTTGTTTACGTAAAATAACTTGTAAGAAAATAATTTAGTTGAAACATATTTTCATAGAAAATATTTTTCAAATAACTTATTTTTAGTTGTTTGGTTGTAATATTGAAAATTAACTAAAAATATTAAAGTTTTTGTCTCAAAAGACCATAAAAAATATTTTAATAATAATAATATAAATTTTATAAATTTTATAAATTAAAAATTTTATTGTTAAATATAAAAAATAAAAAAAATATAAATTATGAAAGCCGCCAGTGGTGGTGGTCGGTGATAAATGGTGACCGGTGGTAGTAACTATAATTATTAATAAATTAAAAATTATGGATTTATAAGGTTTATTAATATCCATAAAATGTTTTACTTGTTCGAAAATGAGAAGTTGTTTTCCATAAAAAATGACTTAATTTTCCTTTGATCAGAAAATTTTTTATTGACTTATTTTTTTGAATGCCCCAAACAACTGAAAATTGTAAAAAATATTTTTCTATAAGTTATTTTATGAAAACAAACGGAGCCTAAAATTGAAAATACATATCTTTAGTGAACTCTTATTCATATATTCTTTATACAGGACACTGAGTTGATTGTATAATCCTATCATCTAAATTGGAAATTCTCAAAACGAAATTGTTTCTCTTATGATTCAATGGAAATTTTCCAAACCGATCAGAATATTCGGACATTTTTAGTTTGAGGAAAAAGAAAGATTCCTTAAATTGTGTATCATTTGAATGGGCCCCCACCTTCAAGACATCGGAAAGTGTCTAAAATTTCCTCATGTCGTATTTTGTTTTGTTCCAACAAATGTCTGATTGGATATCAAAATATAGTTCTGCTTATACAACCTGATAATAGATGTAAATTTGAATTTTCACTCTCTACTATTAAAATTATTTAAGAATTTTGCACGAGAATAAAAAAAAACAATTAATTCTTATAAATTATAGCAACAAAATCAAATGTAATTTGACTAAATTATCTTTTATCTCAATGTTAAAGAGTAACTTGTGTAAATAGTTATTGTATCTAACAACATTAATAATGGTAGAATTGAAAAAAGATAATTTATTATTCCTTAAAATATGTAAAATATAAGTCATTTTTAAGTGTTTATTTTGTACCAGAATATAAATGATTTTGAGTGTTGTAAGAAGTAATAAATAATATTTTTTCAATGTTACACTTATCTACACTAAATACAATAAATACTTCACAAATAACTATTGATTTTAAGATAAATGATAATTTAGTCAAATTACCTTTAGTTTTGTTATGATCTAATTTTCTTAATATTTATACAAAAATCTTAAACAACTTATATTTTGAGAATTTAAGTCAAATTACCTTTTAGTTTTTGTTATGATCTAATTTGTCTGGAGTAAGATTTGTATACAAGAAGATGCTAAACAACGTGTATATTTTTGGAGAATTAATACGGAAGAGTGGAAGGTTTTTGAGATGAACGCTGTATAGGTGCGAAGTTGTATGGATGCATGTAGCAAATTCATGCAGTATGAGTGTGTGTGGCTGGGTTTAATGGATTATTAGTAGTAGCGTAGTAATTGTAATTTTCGATACATGTCAATTGAAAGTGGGTATGGTGGAATAACGGGTCTTATTTCTTATAGGAGGAGAGGGAGAGGAGTTGTGGTAGGTCCAATGGCACTAAGAGGTTGGGGTTGCAACCCAATGATAATTTTTGGCATCACAAAGTTTGATGATGAGAATGGTGACAAGTTAAATTTGTTTTAGATTAAAGACCAAAAGAAAAAAAGAATTTAATGATAGAAAACCATAATCGAGGAGAAGGGGTCCGAAGGGTGTTTCGGAGGAGGGAGTGCCAAGGACCATTTGGAGGAGGACTAAATTTATGTGTGTTTCAAACTGGAGAGCATAGGGAGGGAAGGGTGTAAGTGGAGTGGTAAGTGTTAATTTGCCGCATGTTAGGATTAGTAATAAATAATATTTTTTCAATGTTACACTTATCTACACTAGATACAATATATACTTTCACAAGTAACTATTGATTTTAAGATAAATGATAATTTAGTCAAATTACCTTTAGTTTTGTTATGATCTAATTTTCTTAATATTTATACAAAAATCTTAAACAACTTATATTTTGAGACATATAGAATATTTTAAAACGGATAGTGCATTTAAGATCGCATGTAATTCTCTTATATGTTGCTTTATATTATTATATATAAATTTATTTATAATCATTATATAATTAAATATTTTATTCTTAAAGTAAAATAACTTTGTAGGTCCATCACTGCAACCCATGATAATTTTGCATCACAAAGTTTAGATAAGATGGTGACAATTAAATTTTTTTAATTAAAACCAAAAGAAAAAAAGATTTATGATAAAAACATATCGAGGAGAAGGGTCCAATTTCCCCATCACATCCAACCATTTTAGAGGCTAAATTATTTTCAAACTGAAATAAAAAGTAATTATAAAGTTTAATTTGCCCATTAAATATGTATTTCAGAAAAAAAAAGTTTAAAATTGATTTTTTTTAGTTCAATTTATCGTCTGAACTTATAATTTACACGAGCCATAAACCGATATCAGAAAATTTTTTTCACTGTTTGAGTGAGAGTTAGCGATAAATTTAGCCAAAATTATAAATTCATAGAAATAATTGAACCAAAATTACAAGTTCATGAGGTAAATAAAATAAAAAAAGATCAATTTTTGATTTTTTTTTTGCTGAATTATTTTATAAAAATACTATTGAGCTCATCTTTTCTTTGAAGACACACCTGCCCAGATGGGGACCTTATCTATACTAAGTAGAGACATAAAATAGATGGTTCGTGCTACTGAAGTTGAAACCACTAGACCATAGTGACCCTTGAGAAATTTCTGAGAAACAAGTCCCATCAATAATATTTTGGACTTTTTTTTAAGAAAATAATATTTTGGACTAATTATTATATGGGCAATTATTTGGTTCAATAAGCATTGATTACTTGGTTATTATTTCTTTTTCAATCTTTAAACTAAAAGCTATTGAGAATTATTTAAGGATGTGCATAATTTAATTATTTCTTATTGGTTTTTGATATTTTGTAGCTTATAATTGATTGATCTTTTGTTAAGCCAGAAAAAAAAAAAAAGTTAATAATGACTTTTTCCAATTGATTTTAGTATTTTTTTTTTTTTAAGAAAAAATTGATTTTAGTAGTTAAGCATTGCACTTCATTGTAAAATATTTGATTATATTAATAGTTAATCTAATTATTTAAAGGCAGAGGCTCTAGGATCCCATTTCCATCTCTCTCTGTCTTTTAATGGGTTTTGTTTAATTCTGTTTAAAATTATAGCATTTTTTTATTCGTTAGAAGGTTGAATTAACACAATGTGTTTTACGATAAGGATATCCTTTTCATTAACTCACCAAATTATTGAAAACTCTTATCGTTAAGAGAACTCGAATTCGAGACCTTCACTCAACCAAACTACACCTAGTTCCAACATAATAACAATATATTATGTACAATAATATTGGTAAGAAATATTATCTTTCATGTTGGAAAATTAATGAAATATTAGTTTCTATTGAGATAATTAATGAAAGAGTAATTTAATTAAATATAATTATTTTTGACACTTGAAAATGAGTAATAAATAATAATTTTATAGCATGGTGGAATTAAGGGTGTAATGAGCCGAGCTTGAATATGCTAGGCTTGAATGAAATTCAGCTCAATAGAATTTAGCTTCACTTGAAATTCAACGAGCGTGAAAATTTAGACTTAGGTTTGGCTTGAGTTCGACTTGAGCTGGACTTCAGGCTTGAGTTTAATTTAAAAAATTTTAGGCTTGAGCTTGGTTTAAGGCTGAGTAATCTAAACTAATATTATATATTTATATATATAAAAACTTGATAAGACTTGAAGAGTTTTCGAGCTGAACATCATTAGACTCGAGATCGGCTCGATTACTAAATGAACATGCTCAAACTCGATTTGAATCAAACTTTTTCGAGCCGAATTTGAACAGCTCATGAGTCAACTCGGCTCGTTTACACTCGTAGGATGGTTGTTTGGTTTATGATTTATGAAGTGATTGGGTCTTCTCTCATATCACTTATTGGTGGTGTTGGTTTGGTGAATGTGTGGACCGACAATGCAACAGTTTTTCGTCAACGTGGCCACAATATATTCAAATTTCATACGCCTGAAATTGATATGGCTTGCTGTTCCATGGCCACTACATGACCTTTTTTTTCTTTTAAGAAAGACTAAAATGCATAAAATATACTCCTTTTACTTTATTATATATATATATATACTTCAATTTTTAAAAATACAATAAATCCATTGCAAAACTAGGGTTCCACAATAAAAATTTTAAAATACATGAATATATGAAAAAGGAAAGTCAACATATTATTGCCAATCAGGTGGTGGTCTTTTCACTTACTTGAAAAGTGGAAGGTCTCGAATTCGAGTTCTTAAAATTATATTAATATTAATATTAATATCAAATCTTAAAATAGCACTACCTTCAACTAAAAAAATAGATTTATTTTGTTTTTCACATAAATTTAAAAATTGCAATTAATATGGCTAAATCTTAACTTTTATTTTACAGATCAAATGAATTTATTTTAATGGAAAGATGGATTACGAAGCGTTAATTATATAATGTTATTTTTAGTATTTTTTAGGATACTTTTTAACGAAATGGAGTCTTAATTGATAAAGAAGTAGAGCTTTTATTCTTATTTAATTGAATTATTTTTGTTGAATACTATTAAATCATTTTCAAGATTGTAAAACTTGACTTGAAAGTCAGATTAATTATTTATCCAATTTAATCATTTTTGGTTTTATATATAGCATGTAACAAACGACGCCGTTTTTGGCTATGTTGTCCTTTTCTTTGTAACATTCTTGAAGCAAGAATGGCAACAGCGAGTCAAGAAAAAGTAGGAACAAGTGAGAATCAGAGGCAACAGTCTTCACGATCTCTCTTTGACTGTTCTCGCGTCATTCTCCACGTGTCAATCAAAGAGGCAGCCAAATCTTTCTCCGGCAATAATCATCTGCTTCGCCAACGTTTTTAAGCTCGCTTTGCTTATTAAAGAGGCGAAGCTAACTATTTCACTCATACAAAGCTCACTTTTTTTCTGTTTTTCTACTCTCTCTCTACCTGTCTCTATCTACAAGGAAGAGATCTCTGGCGCTTCTGTTGAAAGTAAGGAATTGTCATAGGAACACACAATCTCTCTCGAGACCTGATGTTCTTTATTTTCTGGGGATGCTTTTCATTTTTAGTTTTTTTAATTGCAAAATTTATATATTTTCAAGTCAATTAAATAGGATTAAATGGAGGCTCGATGCTTTGCCGTCGTGCTTAAAATCATGTCCCTCTGTTGTTATGTGCAATGGTTAGAATTGAAAGTTTAAGTATTTAAAGCTTATTGAATTATCAAAGCTTTGAACTTTATGGTTCATTTGCTGGTTTAGTATAACTGCAGTTTTATCAAATCAATTGCAGTGTAGTTCCTTCTGTTTTAGATTGATTTGGTTTTTGAGATTCAAGGTATTTGTGATATGGGATAATGGGTATGTTTTGCTTTTTTTCAGTAGTTGTATGTTGTTTGGATGTTTTATGCAAGTGCTAAGATAAATGTGGGCACTGAGGGAAAACTTGACTTGGTCTTAGTTTTTTTTTTTTTTTTTTTTTTTTTGGCACTGAGGGAATTGACTTGTTTGTCTTAGTGTTTTTTTTTTTTATTTTTTTTTTTGGAGAATTTTGGTGAAATTAAAGATACGTCATTGAATAATGGTAGCCTAAGAAAATTGTCTAGGAGAGGCTTACATTTTAGCAAGCTGTATTCATTTTTCTTGTTGTAAAATCTTCATGTTGAGAGAAGACATGCGTGCAAATTTTTTTTTTTTTTTTTTTTTTTTTTGGAAAAGTTTTGGTGAAATTAAAGATACGCATTGAATATTAGCCCTAAAATGTCTAGGAGAGGCTTACATTTTAGCAAGCTGTATTCATTTTCTTGTTGTAAATCTTCATTTAGAGAAGACCATGCTCAAATTGGTCAGAGGGGATACTCTAGGGTGGTATACTGCAATGACCCTGATAAACCAGACGCAATTCAGCTCAATTATAGGGGAAATTATGTATCGACTACAAAGTATACTGCTGCTAACTTCATACCTAAGTCTTTGTTTGAGCAGTTTAGGAGGGTTGCAAATGTATATTTTCTTGTTGTAGCTTGTGTTTCATTTAGTCCGTTGGCCCCCTACACAGCGCTCAGCGTTTTTGCACCTTTGGTAGTAGTTATTGGAGCTACTATGGTTAAAGAAGGTGTCGAAGATTGGAGGCGAAGAAAGCAGGTAATAATTGTTTTCCTTCTGCATGTGATGATTTTTTTTTTTTTGGGCGTTTTAGGTATATTTCCATTTAGTGCGACATTGTAAAAGTACCAGGTATTCCTTTATAAACCAACAAACTCTATTGATTTTAGGTTTGCTGAATAATAAATTCCTAGTATTGTTGTAGTGCATCAATGAATTGCCATAAAATGATATCTTACTATATATATTTGGTTGCTATGGATTAATGTTATTAGCTTTGGAAGCTTCTTCTGATCAAGTTTCTAAACAATTAGCTTTGGAAGTTTCCTCTACTCAAGTTTTCTGAATAATTAATAAAAAATGTCGGTATCCTAATCGTATACTCGATATTAACTATTCAGATATGAAATTTAATTGTAATTCACCTCAGAAATTTCTTCTGCTCAAGTTCTTTATTTGTTTGATAGCTTCAAAATACCCATTCTTAATTGCTTGCTGAAAGAGAACATTCCTTTCAGAGCTAGTGTTCCGTTTTAGATGTATCTAGCTGGCTTTTCCATTTTGTTTCTCTTACAATCTTTTCTATGTTTCTTGCGTTATCTCATGGAAATTTAGGTCTTTTATGATCTCATTATTATTAATACGAATGTCTTTTCATTTCTACTGGATTTCCATTTAATTCATAGATAATGGATTGGAACAGGATATAGAGGCAAACAATAGAAAGGTCAAAGTTTTTGGTAAAAGTTATACTTTTTATGAGACCAAATGGAAGAATCTCCGAGTTGGGGACCTTGTTCAGGTGTCCAAGGATGAATATTTTCCTGCTGATCTGCTTCTGCTTTCATCGAACTATGAAGATGGAATTTGTTATGTTGAGACCATGAATCTTGATGGGGAGACTAACTTAAAATTGAAGCATGCCTTGGAGGCGACATCCTCCCTACACGATGAAGAATCCTTAAAGAATTTTACGGCTGTGGTCAAGTGTGAGGACCCAAATGAAAATCTGTATACTTTTGTTGGAACATTGAATTATAATGGAAATCAGTATCCACTTTCGCCACAACAAATTCTTTTGAGAGATTCAAAGCTCAAGAATACTGAATATATCTATGGTGTAGTTATTTTCACTGGGCATGACACAAAAGTGATGCAAAATGCTGTGGATCCTCCTTCTAAGAGGAGTAAGATTGAGAGGAAAATGGACAAGATAGTGTATGTCCTTTTCAGCACTTTGATTTTGATATCATTTATTGGATCTATATATTTTGGAATTGAAACTAAAAGAGATATCAGTGGTGGAAAGTATAGAAGGTGGTATCTCCGACCAGATGCCACAACGGTGTTTTATGACCCTCGAAGAGCATCCCTTGCTGCTTTTTTTCATTTCCTGACAGGACTTATGTTGTATGGATATTTGATACCAATATCCTTGTATGTGTCAATTGAAATTGTAAAGGTCCTTCAGAGCATTTTCATTAACCAAGATCAGGAAATGTACTATGAGGAGACTGATAGGCCAGCACATGCACGTACATCTAATTTGAATGAGGAACTTGGGCAGGTCGATACTATACTATCTGACAAAACAGGTACTTTGACATGCAACTCAATGGAGTTTGTCAAATGTTCAATAGCAGGAATTGCTTATGGCCGTGGTATGACAGAAGTGGAAAGAGCTTTGGCAAAGAGAAGAAGTGATGGACCATTGGAAATGGATGATATTTTATGTGATACACCTGATGATAATGTGGATACAGGTTACTCAGGAAAGTCGATCAAGGGATTCAACTTCAGAGATGAACGCATATTGAATGGCCACTGGGTTAATGAACCTCAATCAGATGTCATACAGAAGTTCTTTCAGGTGCTAGCCATTTGTAATACAGCTGTTCCTGAAAAAGACAAAGAATCAGGTGAAATTTTCTATGAAGCTGAGTCGCCTGATGAAGCAGCCTTTGTTATAGCTGCAAGGGAGGTTGGTTTTGAGTTGTTTGATAGGACACAAACAAGCATCTCGTTGCGTGAGTTAGACCCCGTGACTGGTAAAAAAGTTCAAAGGTGAGGTTTCAGGACCCTGTTTCAACTTTTGAGAAATATTTTGTGCATGAGTTACTCCTGTTCTATGAAAACATAGTTACATTTGTGCTGTCCTTGTGTTAATTGTTTTTGCAAATTAATGTGAGATAATGATATCTTAAATCATTAACTGATTTTTCCGTTTTATCATCCATTTACTGTCCACATGTGGAAAAGCAATGTAAAATCTTTTAAGTTAAGCCTGATTCCTCCTTTTTTTCCCCATTGATCGCGGTGGTAGGTTAAATGCTTCTTAAATGCAAATACAATGCATGGTATTCTATTATTCAGTTTCTCATGCTGTGAAATGTATGACGACTACTTAACTTGATTGTAGGCCTGATACAAGCTTCCAAACACTTGCATCAAGTGTTTACATTACCATTTCAGAAAGGCTAGCTTAAATTCAAACTAGTGAAATATTAAACTTTCCTACTCTTTAGCATCTGATACTTCCAAAGAAGAAAAATTACCATTTCATAACTTGTGTATACAGTGAAAGAAGTTGTAAATATTATTGGTTGCATTGTCATTTATGAAGGAAAAATATTATATTATTAGAGAAGGTGGGAGCAGAAGTCTTTATGTTGGTGTAGCAGAATGCTCACATTTTTGTTGCATCAGAAGTCCACTTTATTTGCTCATGTAGAGATTTGCATCTATCTTTTTTTTTTTTTTTTTTTTTTTTTTTATTATTAGAGAAGGTTGGGAGCCAGAAGTCTTTATGTTGGTTGTAGCAGAATGCTCAATTTTTGTTTGCAATCAGAAGTCCACTTTATTTGCTCATGTAGAGATTTGACATCTATCTCTTTTTTTTTTGTGGTTTTTTTTTTTTTTTTTTATTTTGTGTGTGTTTGGGGGGTGGGCAGCGGCAGGGGGGAACGCATTGGGGTTTGCAGAGTGGGGAGAAAATGAAAGAATAAAGCAGAGACAGACCTTCAAGACATAGAGTTTTTTTTTTTTTTTTTTTTTTTTTTTGTGTGTGTTGGGGGGTGGGCGCGGCAGGGGGAACGATTGGGTTTGCAGAGTGGGGAGAAAATGAAAGATAAGCAGAGACAAACCTTCAAGCATAGAGAATGATATCTATTGTGGATGGCAAATGTGGATCATCTACTATTAAGTAATAGCAAAATAAAAATTGCTTAAAGTAGGACTCCACATGTATGCCACCTCTTATAGATTAACGTTATTCTTGTACTTTATGTATTACCATCAGGAGTTTGATGTGATTCAATTTTATATTCTAGAAATTACAAGCTTCTTCAAGTCCTAGAGTTCAGTAGTTCTCGTAAGAGAATGTCTGTGATTGTAAGAAGTGAAGAAGATGAACTTTTGCTCCTTTCCAAGGGTGCAGACAGGTTTGGATCCTGATGCACAGAAACCTCATTGCTTATGAAATTGTATATTGATTAACTAAATTTATATCTACATTTGTCTGCTTATATTCAGTGTGATGTTTGAAAGGCTCTCAAAAGATGGGCAGCTGTATGAGACTAAGACCAAAGAGCATATCAAAAAATATGCAGAGGCAGGTTTGCGGACATTGGTAATTGCATGCCGTGAGCTTGGTGAAAATGAGTATGGAATCTGGGAAAAAGAATTTTCAAAAGCCAAAGCGGAAGTAACTGGAGACCGAGATGTATTAGTGGATTCCATTGCTGAAAAGATTGAGAAGGATTTAATTCTTCTTGGTGCTACAGCTGTCGAGGACAAACTGCAAAAAGGGGTAGGTACCAAACTTGATTATCTGTTTTTGTTGATAGAATAGGGAGGGATTCTGGCTCCTAGTTGTTCTAACCTGTGCAGTCCCCAATGCAACCTTTTCATTTGTATCATCCTTTAATTTTTGTAGAGCATGTCATCAATTTATAACTGGAAAATAATTTCCATGGCAACCAAAACAAGCAGCCAATTTCAGTATATTGGAGTTGTATTTGCAAGATTATACTTCCACTGGTTGTTAAAAATTGGTATGTTCTGTCATGTTTAGGTTCCAGAGTGTATTGATAAGCTTGCACATGCTGGAATTAAAATATGGGTCTTAACTGGCGACAAGATGGAAACGGCAGTAAATATAGGGTATGGTTCAAAGTCTTAAGCCAAATTATTATCCTCAGGTTTCACATTATAACTCATCTAATTCATGCAGATATGCATGTAGTCTACTAAGACAAGAAATGAAACAGATAATCATCACACTTGACTCTCCAGACATAAAAGCCTTGGAAAAACAAGGAGATAAAGAGGCTATTGCTAAGGTACACAATTCATTGCTGATGGCTAAATAGCAGTCTTCATGTCATGAAATCTCTGAAATACTTGGTCATTCTAGGCTTCTCTTGCAAGTGTGATGGAACAAATAAGAAATGGAAACTCTCAACTTAAAGAAGGATCATTTGAATTTGGTTTAGTGATTGATGGGAAGTCTCTAGCTTTTGCACTGGACAAGAGGCTAGAGAAGAAATTTTTGGAGCTTGCACTTGGCTGTGCTTCTGTTATATGTTGTCGGTCTACTCCGAAACATAAAGCTCTTGTAAGTGTTATGCACATTCTCATCTGTTTTCTATAAATTTTCAGTTTTCTATTGCAACTGATGTCAAATAATCTAATAGAAATATAGGAGATATGCAGGTCACAAGACTGGTGAAAACAGAAACAGGTAAAACAACACTGGCAATTGGTGACGGAGCAAATGATGTTGGCATGCTTCAGGAGGCTGATATTGGAGTTGGGATCAGTGGTGTTGAAGGAATGCAGGTCAGTATCTATTTCTAATAGGTAGTTAATTGATTTATTCTTAGTACATTGAGAGTTAGAGGTTTAATTTCGAATCATTTAGACATTGGCTTTGCAAATATGGGTAAATGCTTCGTGAGGGCCAAATCATCAGTTTTCTCCTTCATATGTTACCATATTGCACAAATTTCCATTACTTGCATGTTTTAGTCCTTATGTGTGAGTGCTTAACCAATCTTGTGTCTCTTTGCTGTTTCCATTTGCACACTACTGCCACAGGATATGACTTGTCCCAATTTAAAAGTGCAAAAGAGCTTGTTACTGTTCTACTAGGTTGCTCTTAAAAGGTTTTACCTGTTCTTAAGATCCTTGTCAGGTTAGATTAGTACTTTCATAAATTTAGTATTGATCAGATTCTTGCATTTACTATGTATTTACCTTTTTTTGACCTTTTCCCATTTCTTGTGAGGAGTAACTTCAGATTTAATGAAACTGATGACAATCAATCATTAGTAGCTCCTATTTCCTTATTGAGAAACAGACTTCAGCATTTTAATCATCTGTTGTCGAGGATTAATCCTTTAACCCTAAAGCTTATTGTAATTGTGGACTATTCCAAGATAAGGGCCTAAGCAGGGTGCAATAATTTGGGTTAAGTGATGTATGATAATGAAATACCTCCTTTGCCTTCTTCTGTTTGCTCTTATATGCCATCTCTTCCATATTTTGCTGTCCATCAATATTATTTTTGAGTGCAGCCTTGTGGAAATCTTAAAATTTAACCTGTTTCCTTAAATATGCAGGTTCATTCTAATCATTCAACTCATGGGTCTCAGTTGAAACATTCCTAATAAGCAGATCCGATGATAATAAATTACTGAAATAAGTTTTCTTTTTGTCCTTTGGCTGCAGGCAGTTATGGCAAGTGATTTCTCGATAGCTCAATTTCATTTTCTGGAACGTTTGTTACTGGTACATGGGCACTGGTGTTACAGGCGAATAGCAATGATGGTAAAACTATGCTCTCCTGTGTTATCCATATCATTTAAGAATTGAATTAATAAGCTTTTGGAGAAATGAAAATCACTCATTGATAGCTAGTTCAGCTTTTTTTAAAATCCACTTATGGTACTACTGATGAAGTGACTGATTTTCTCTCTTGCTTATCCTCTTGCTTTTCATGGTGCAATTGAAGATTTATGATGTTTATCATTTCTGGTTCTTTTAGTTTCTTTCAACAGAGAAAGGAAAAGAAAAAGGGCACATTTCATTGTTACTTCACGGATATGATGAAAAACCTTGGCATACATGGAATTCAACTGAATGCTTATATTATCATTTCTCTGTTAATTGTAGATATGCTATTTCTTCTACAAGAATATCGCATTTGGATTTACTCTATTTTGGTTTGAGGCGTACACTTCTTTCTCCGGCCAGCCTGCTTATAATGATTGGTATATGTCATTCTATAATGTCTTCTTCACTTCTCTTCCTGTTATTGCTCTCGGTGTTTTTGATCAGGATGTCTCAGCAAGGCTTTGCCTTAAGGTATGCAATGACCATCCGCCTAAGATACTAGAAACAAAACTGCATGTTGACTTATGTATTCTTATATGATTTATATCCTTTATTGTAAATTTTCTATATAGTTGTAGGTTTATCTGTATATATACACCTAGATGTAAATCACAAATACATGAGAAATTGAGAATTAATTTCTCCCAAAAACCTAAACTCTGATACCCTCTTGGAATAAAATATGGATTGTAATGTTGCATAGGTGGTTTGAATTATAAATGAAGCCCATACTGCTTATTACTCCATCCAACAGAAAGATAGTACTTTGTAATAAGTACGAAAGAGAAAATAGAATCAACTTTTTCATTTGTGCCTATACACACACACACACACACACACACACACACACACACACACACACACACACACACACACACATCAACTTTTTCATTGTGCCTATACACACACACACACACACAACACACACACACACACACACACACACACACACACACACACACACACACACACACACACGCTATGCTTTTGACTCTTGGAACCCTTAATGCTATCCTCTAATAGACTATAAAGGGTACTTATCCAACGTTTCATGCTTAACTGATTACCCTACTTAGCATGCTTAGCCGATTTAGCATTATATACACACACATGCTAAGAATGAAAAGATTTGGTTTGCTGTGGGTAAAGAAATGAACAAATGAATAGGGAATCTTTGTCGAAATAAATAAGAACTGCTGTTAAATCTATGCCTGTGATTATGTTTTTGACTGTAGAAGAACTTCATTACTATGCGATTGTGAAAATATTTACTGGCTTCTTTTAGCAGATTGATGATTTTATACTCTCTTTACAGCATCCTTTGTTATATCAAGAGGGAGTACAAAACATCCTCTTCACCTGGCCTCGCATTCTTGGCTGGATGTGTAATGGAGTACTTAGTTCCATAATTATCTTCTTCTTCGCCATCAACTCCATGATTAATCAAGCTTTTAGAAAAGATGGTCAAGTGGTTGACATTGAGATTCTTGGGGCTACAATGTATACATGTGTAGTATGGTCAGTGAATTGCCAGATGGCATTATCAATCAATTACTTCACTTGGATTCAACACTTCTTCATTTGGGGAAGCGTAGCCTTCTGGTATATATTTTTGGTGATATATGGTTCAATTTCACCTATTGTTTCTACAACAGCATACAAAGTTCTTGTAGAAGCTTGTTCTCCAAGCCCTTTCTATTGGCTTATAACTCTTCTTGTGGTCCTTACCACCCTACTACCTTACTTTTCCTACCGGGCTTTCCAGTCTCGTTTCCGACCAATGTACCATGACATCATACAAATTCAGAGATCAGAAGGCTCGGAAACAGAAACTCAAATTTCCAGTGACTTGCCGAAGATGGTCAGGATGAGAATGCATCATCTAGAGGCAAATTTAAGGCAGAGGAACCAGTAGAAAGCATAGATATTCATGTTCATTACTAGTTTTCTTTTCTTTTTCTTCTTTTTTTTATTTTTATTTTTGTTTTTTATGTATATTGCAAAAGAAATTTATAGATCTGGAGTTTGCGAGAGGACAGGACTTCTTCATCAGCAAATGTAAATTTCAGCGTCAAAAAATGTATGGCTTTACTATGGCTTGTTTGACATCCTGGGTTTGTAGGCAGAATTTGAGCAGTTCACTTTATCTAAATTGCTATATAACTGATTATATTTGCTTATTTTGACCAATTAGCTCTCTGAAGTATATTGATTCAAACAAAATTTTAACATTTAAATTTATAAATTTTCATTTTCAACAACCCTTTTAATGACAATTAATAATACGTTGATCTTTTATATTTATTACACAAATACAAACATGATATTAATGTAATACTGAAATAACTTATATCCTTTTTCATGTATAGAAAACTACTATTTAGTCTTTTAAGGTTAAACTCTAATGATGAACTTTAATTTCGTTAATTATTTATCATTTTACCAGTAAGTATTAAGATAAGTAGTTCAATACTCTTTTCTTTTAAATGATGATAAACGTTTAATTCTCATAGATAAATTAAATATTCAATTAGAATAATTTACTTAATTGTCCGCCGATATTTAATATATCAAAATAAAAATTGAATATACAGTAAAAAATTGCAGATAATAAATGAATGAATTCACACTGTGTCTCAAAATAGTATCGGAGAAAGAGTAGGAAATATGAAAGCATCCTTGATTTGCAATTACCTGTTAACTAAGCAATGACATTGAAGTGGACCCTCACTAATAACAGCCATGACATGACAAGGACACATCAGCATTAAATAATTTTGTGCAACACGAAACGAAACTCACTCAATTAATCAAATTATTACAATTAGGAACGTGGACAGGACACAAGCATGATACATGTGCTATTTTACCAACCCATTAGCCCACTAACCTTAATTTGCGACATCATCACTTCATCCAACCATGTTTCTGCTGCCAGCCAAGATTCTATTAGCTAAAATTAGTTGTTACCTGTTTGATTAATTTTTCATAAAATTTAAAAGTTATATATTATGTGAGTTAATTTTTTATAAGATATTATTTTTAATTTTTAAAAGTTAATTCAAACGTTATGTACCGAATACTATAAAAAAAAATGTTTAGTATTTTGACTATTTAAAAAGTTATTGTCGAATATAATTTAAGTGTAATCTGATTGAATTTTTCACTTATATAAAGAGTGAGATATTTTGAATTTAAGTTTTCTTGACCATAAGATGTTGGAGTATATGGGTAATCCTATATCGGTAAATACAACTAACTAAAAGGGTATATAATGTAAAGGTTGAACCAACCAAAATGACTTATGTCATTTTGTGTTAAAGGTAAGCCCAACTCATTATAAGCCCAATATAATTGAATTTGGTTTAATTAATTTGCTCCTAGGCCTAGAGTCTAGATTCTCAACATAAGAGTTTTCACTGCTAATGAAAAAACTACCCTTATTATGAGTTTTCACCACTAATGAAAGGACTACCCTTATTATGTAACCTGCAGTATTATTTCGGCATATTGGTCTCCCAATAAATAATAAAAAGAAACAATCCCTTTACTAATTTATTATAAACAAAAAGATCTCCAAGCTGATTTCATAAACTAATCTCTCAAATCCAATCATTAGTGTTGTGCTTAAATATAATTTGTTAATTAAGCACACCATTACCTCTTCTACTTCTCAAATGGCAGTATGGGTATGATTGTTTGCGTTTTAATTATTTAATTACAAAAATAGTTAAGGGGTTTAAGCTAATACAATATACAATTCTAGTGCTATAGTTTTTCTTTTCTTGTCGGCTAAGCTTATAATTTATTTTTTATTCATAAGTGATTAAATAAATTGAAAATAAATCATGCAATTCCATTTAAAATACATTGATAATAAATCATACAATTCCATTAAATTAATAAAAACTTTTATAATTGAAAAAAAAATTCAAATATAAAACCTCTTGCTATATTAAAAAATAAAACTCGAATAAAATTTGCATTGTTATCGGTAATTTAATTTTATTAATACTTAAAAAGTCTTACTAAATAGTTAATCCGCAATAATTAAAGTTAATTAAAGTCATAAATATAATAGATTTTCTAGAAAGACTGTTCAAATAATCAAATTAGGCATAAGTATGCAATAGAAAGACCGTTCAAACTCGAAAGATTATGTAGATAAATTTCATGAATATATATATAATTTTTCAAGTGGACCATGACTTGTTCATAACATGAAGGTATCTGCATTATGGGATTTTAGGCATGTGTGGGACCATAATAAAATCCTTTGCAGCCTCCTTTTATTATTACATCTGCTGTGTCAAAGTGTTCCTAATTTGACTAAAATTTTATTTTAAATTGATAATTAATTGGAGATAAAATAAAAACAATACTCTATCAATTATATTTTTCCAAAAATATTATTTTAGAAATTTATTTCATTTCTCTATTCCATATCATAAAACTCTTACATAAGAAAGTTCTAGAGGTGAAAAAAAATACAATTATTAATTAAGTTTTAATTGATAAGATACATTCTTAAGTTTGACTTAAGATTTGAATTCTATATTTGACTAATTAACTTCTGGAAGCACGCCATGCTGTTTAATTATTAATTTAATTTCTGATAATTACGTGATGCATGGCGAATTAAACATCTTTATGCCTCCAAATATAATTAAATAAAAACACTTTTTTTTCTTTAAAAAAAAAAATCCCAAGTAGGTTTCCTCCTGGCCAAGCAATAATTATTATATCTCATAGGTGGAGTCCAATATATTATATAATACAAAATACATAACATGAAAAACAACTCAACTTTTGTGTAGCCGCTAATTCCTATTACTATTTAATTATTTGGATTAAGAAATCATAATTAGGATTTATTGTGGTAATCCCTTTTTGTTAATTATCATTAACACTGTCATTATATATATTTTCTTTAATATGAATAAATTGATAAATTTTGAAATGTTGACTGAGACTGCAAATGTCAACCGTGCATCCAAAGGAGCGATTAAAATCAAAAGGGTTTTTAATGTTATAAATTTGTATTTTGTCGATATTAATTGTTTTTTTTTTATATAATCGGAAGGTATAATTCCCTTAGATGCCCTTTTAGCAAAGTGCGCTTTTTAGAAATTAAATTTATATTTTTACTCTTGTAGAGATAGAGGTCGCCTACCACCTACGACCTCAACCAATAACTTATAGGCGATATTAATTGTTAAAAAATCCTATTTTGTTCTATATATTTTTATTAGTTAACATTGCCAAACTTAATTTCTATCCCAAAAATTAAAAGAAGAAAGTGCTAACATAAGGTCAACTATACACATAATAATGTCTGCTTCTAGATGGGATTTAAGAGAAAAGGACAAAAGCAATTTAGATTTTCAAATTGAAAGGTTGTAGATGTCCAAATCTTAACCTGAAAATGTTAACTTTGATTTGCTTTTTATCTTTTAAGATTGTTGTTAAATTAAATTAATTTTAATAAACGTTTTAAAAAAGATTCGGTTGTTTAATTGTAATGTTAACTATTAGTTAGAAAAATACAATTCTTATGAATTACAAAAATAATATTTAACTTCATTTTTTTGTGCACAGCAATTACTTATATTAATGTTAGGGTTATCTTTTTCATTAAAAAATTGAAATTATGAACATAAAGTACATTCATGTTACTTTGCGGTATAACGTCTTTTCAAACGACAAAAACATTTGAGGGATGACGATGAAAATAATCATACTCCTATGTATTTCATCTCGCTATAATGGCTTTGTCAAATTTTAAAAATAACTTTATGTTTCTAGAAGGAAACATCATCATTTTTAATGATTTACCTTTTACTTTAACAAAAAAAAAATGTCATTAATTATTTTTAGAAAACAAATAAATTAAACTCTATATCTATGTAAAAGGAGAGTAATTTACTTTCTATAGAACTCAAGTAGCATAATTTGTCACTTGAAAGTATTTTGAATTATCGAATTATAGAACGACAATTGTTAAAATTCTAAATTAAGCTATTAAATTAATTTTTTTAAAAAAAATTTAAGTTTATTGATAACTGAAGTGATTAGTATGCAGTCTGGGGATACATTTTCCCATTATAATTTATTTATCGTAATTTTCATTAAAAAATATCTCTTTGATGGTAAATAATTCTAGAGTATGGCAAAGATGAATGACTTATTAAGACTGCCGAAATATATTTTTAATTGTAATGAGAATATTTCTGATCATTCATTAATAAATAAAAAAAACAAAAATAAATCTGAAAAAAACACTCATTTTTTCTTGGTAATAAAAAAATATTAGTTAATTAACTTAGAGTATGGAGTAGTCTTATGTACCAAGAGCTAAGTTGTACGGACATAGACATGAGATACAGAAGTGTACGAGATACGATAATTTAAAAAAAAAAAAGCAGGACATACATTCGTTTATGATACACTGCACCATATAAGTGGTATACTACATTCGTTTCATAATAATGTTACAGTTGAAAAAATAATTTGTTCCACAATACTTATCACATTTGTAGTTTCAAGAGTAATAAATATTTTTTTTTCATGTTTACCCTTTGCATATGACCAATAATTATTATTTTGATTTAATAGTTTAATAATTTTCTTAGAGAATTAATATTAAATTAAAATAATATAGTCAATTTACTCAATAATTTATTATAACGTAAATAAATTTAATAATTTTTTAAAAAAACGTAAATTTCAAATATAATAAATATTATAAAATAACAATAATCCATTAATATTATAAAAATTGTTTTATCTTTTAATATTGATCCCCGCAAAAATACTATGAAACAGTATTTTTGATTAAAACGTTTTTAGCGAAAAGAAACGGACAACTTTGATCGCAAGTTGGATTTGAACGTCATGGCCCAGCTGTAGATTGATTTCTTTCCTTCTAGAAAGTCCACGCCATGCCTACTTTCTAGAATTCTCTCGTCTTTTTGTTTTTCTACTTTTTACTTTTTTTTATAAAAAATGAATAAAGAAAGAATAGGACATAGAAGTAACTAAGAATTAGTAAAAATTTCAAATATGAGTAACAATTTTTTTTCCCGGTTGTTTGGCATCAGGGAAACGTAGGATAATTTTCATAGCATTATTATTAGCAAATACAAAAGCACACGTAGTTAATCAATTTTGACATTTTTGTTTTATATATATATATATATAAAAAAAGTGAAAGAATTAACAAGTAAAATAAAATTGGGTCATTGACCAAGTAAATATATTTCCACTTCCATTTCCAACTACGATATTTATTTGTTTTAATCGATGAAACTAGCAAATATATATATAAAAAAAGTAAAATACAAGTAACATATAAAATTGGGTCATTGACAAGTAAATATATTCACTTCCATTTCCAACTAGATATTATTGTTTTAATCGATGAAACTAGCAAATAAGTAATCAAAAGTTGAAAAAAAATATATATGGATATATATATGCTTTGTAATTAAAAGATATCTAATAAAGCGGAAGGTAAATTATAAAAGATGACAGTGAGACTTGTAATATTAGATGGGAGTGGTCCGATTGAGTGGATTGATGGTAAGCATTAAATGCCTAACATGTTTATAAAATAAATGTTATGGAAATGCAAATATTAAGATAGATATGTGGTCATACAAGATAAGACAAAATTAAAAATGTCAATAATGCACTAGACAGAGATAAAATGAGAGAATGACACTTAAAATCCTGAAATGTCTCAATTTGTAATTATGATACACCGATAGTAAATGGTACTAAACGAGGAAAATTAAGATAGACTTAGAATTACACGTGGAAGCAAATTGTTAGAAAATGTGATGTGTCTTGATATTAGCATGGATTTAGATAGGATAAACCTCGGACAAAATTTCGTTCATGTGAAGTGGAATCCTTTTTTGTTAGCTTAAAATTTTAGAAGACAGTCATCATGATGTTGTAATATATATGTTGATTTTTCATACTTATGGTATTGTTCTTTGTTCTTTGCATTGCGGTGTGGTGCATTACCTTGAAAGTTTCAATAATACCAATATTTTTAATTCAATTATACCTAAAAAATGGGTACCCATATTTTAACTCAATTAATAATTTTGATATTTTAATCTATGTCTATATATATAAAAGCAAAACAGTTTGCATTATTTATGTTGCATTATTTGTTGGTATTGAGAATGGTTTAATTAGTTATGATATGCTTCATGCATGCTTTGCTAGTGTGGAATTGGAATGAAGTGGGTCACCACGGGTTTGTGAGAGGGTCTTCAATACCATCGGCCATGTATGGAGAGATCGGTGCCCCTATGTGCATCTGATGATGTATGATATGAAAAATCACAGGGTGACCTCCTATTGGTATGAAAAAGAAAAGAGGGTGTAAAAAAAAATGAGAGGACTGGTCAAGTGAGGATTAGACTGGTCGGCTATGTATGGGGATCGGCTCCCCAGTGCACACGTTTGAGAGGGCAAGCCATGTGGGAGGATGACTCCTCGGGAGTTTCGGTGACTCCACTAATCAATTTCCATGTGATGTGATTATGTAAAGGTGTTAATATTTGTGATTGTTTTTGTTTTATCATTTGTGTGATTGACTACATAATCATATAACTAGCCGGATGACTAGATAGATTTATTTATGTATTTGTGTAATTGTGTGAGATGAGATGGTTAACTAACCTACTCACTGAGTTTAGCGCTCATTACTGCCTTAATATTTTTTCAAGTTATAAGTCTTCTAATATCTTGTTATTCTTTGCCACTTGACATCTAGAGAAAATGTTGAGAACGAAACCTTGATCAATTTCATTTAGTGTGTTGAAATAGAATTTTAAATTCTTGGATTGTTCTACAATTATAATAGTTATGTATTATAAATTTAGAACGTATTGATGTATTACTTATTGAAGTTTCTATTATGTAAACATTAATATGGACCTAGAGAACTATGAAAATTGATTTATTATTGAATATGATGATACGGGCCAAATGAGCCCTATTCACTCCAACATATAGTCCTATTCACTCTAAGATTTGGTATTAAATAAGGATTTTTTTTTATCATAATATATTGTCTAGGAATTTTATTCTCTATCTTATTAAATTTATTATTTTGAACCTAAATTCATAACAAGATCGTAAATGCACTTATCACTATGATATATTTTGATTTGCAATATATAATTCATGTTTGATTAGGAGTGTATTATCATTATGGCAAAACTAATCAAATATATTTCAAAATGAATTGGTCGAATAAAATTGGAAATTTATCTATAACTCTGAAAGAGTAATGATTGAACGTACATTTCTTTATTTTTGTTGACAAAAATAAGTATAATTCCTCTGAAACAGTTAGTTAAACGATTTATACATCTTTCACACATAACTGTTTTATACAAAAATAGAAATTTTTTTAATAATTATTTTATAAAGATCTATTAAATAGCAAGTCAATAATATATATGTGCATTCCCGTAGTTAGGAGAAGTTGTTTTCAGTCTTTTATTTTAAGAGAAAAATGATGAGAATTCTATAACCATAAGACATGATTGAATACATAAATTTTATCTCTCAATTTTGCAACGTTCAACTTGTGTCCTAAATTTTACGGATGACTTATTGTAATTAAATTTGTAAATTTTAATAGTATTACACATTTTTCGACACTAATATCAATAAACTTTTATTTGTAAACTACTGACTTGACATATAGTTAATATGATCTTTGGAACAATAATTTTCATAATTATTAATTTTTTAATGGGTATTTAATTAATCTAGTTTTGCAAGTTGAAGTGCTAAATAAAATAATTTTAAAACTTAAAAGTGTTCAATTGTATACAAATTGAAGTGACTGGTGAATCAAAATAAAAGTTAAGGGAAGATAACCTTAATCCTGAATAACGTAGCCGCTCTCTCTTTCTCATCCAAACCTAAAATCCAAGAGCTCTTTTTTTCTTCTTTCGCGGGTGGTCATTGATGAGTTCTCACCGGTGGTCACCCCTTTTTCTTTTCTTTTTTGTTTATTGTTTTGCAAATAATCCTCAGATTTATGTACAGATCTGAGTTATTATTACCCAATTATTGAGATTTGTTATCAGCCATATATTGAAATTTTATTTTCAGATCTAATTCTGAGTTATTGTTGTCACCATTATGGTGATTTTGTTTAGCGTTTTTGTTATTTAAATAGTTATGCAGAAATAAGTGCATATCCTCATAAGAAATTTATATGTAATCTGATCGGATATACAAATATTATTTTCTGTCAACTCGATCAGATACTTCAAATTAAGATTGTATTTTGTTATTCATTGTATAAGTGGTTTATTATTAGACTTCTATACAAAAATATAGAAACATATTGATTTGTATATCATATATGTATACAGTTTCTTTTTAATGAAATTTCTAATTTAATTTCTTCTAAAAAAATAATTTAATTAATTTTAAAAAAAATAATTAAAAAAATTAAGGGTGTCATAAAATTAAAATAACATAGTTAAGAGAAATTTATATATTCAGCCAGTAAGATGTCGCTGAGTTGAACACGATGGTCTAAGAATTTTCACTTGTCTTAATTACTTATTTGAGATTTATTTATTATTTCTAAACTTTATTTATTTGTTGCTAGTACTTTACACACAAATCATAATTACTTAATTTATAAGCTTGGTATAAAAATTAATTGTTATGATTATTAATTTTAATTGAATTATTTTTATATAAATTATTTTAATAACACACTAATTTAATTCGTTGATTTTGCATCATAGAATTATAAAATAAGAGCTAAATAAACTTGGTACAATTAAAATTTTATTTATATATCACACATTAATAAATCAACAATTTTTTTTTTTTATAAAAGATTTTTTTGAGAAGAATAAAAGATTTTTTTTTTTTTTTCCGGAGAAGAAGCTTCCTAACTGCCATAATGAATGCTAATAAAATAGCCCCCATGCTTGGATTCCGATATTCCTAAACTATTACTTCTACTACAGTTCCAGCCATACAGTACACAACGACACGCTTGGCATTTCCTTTCTTGTTGTGCTGGCCTACAGCTGACATACATGCCCACGAACTCCAAATATAACTTTCACCAGATACCCAAAGCACACGTGTGAACTATACTTTCTTTCAACGTGCCAATCACGCAACTCAGTATGCAAGGAAACAGCGTCCTAAACTGTCAACCCCACTGCCTCTGTATATATTATTATCTTTAATCTCCCTTTTATCTTAGATAATCACACGCGTAATCTCACTTTCCCATTTCCATCTCCCCAAGCTCCAACCAGACTCTCATACTTATATATATATATATATATATATCGAAAAATCGTAAACTTTCACAACAACACAACAACAACAACAACACATTTCAAGAATCAAAATGCAAGATCAAGGTGGTTCTACGGTGTCGTTTTCTCCTAGCTTCAATTGCTACTCTTCTAATAAACTTGCAGATATTGCAGCTAAAGTCGGCCGAGAAGAACAAGGAAGTATAGACAGAGATAGAGATATAGTATGTACCAACCGAAACGATGACGTCTCGGTATATGGAAGCAGCGATGAAGATGATGACGATGATTTTGAGTTCGTTTTGGTACGAGCGAATCCAGACGGTTGTTTCACAATCGACCGTTCGGATTATCCGGTTTTCCCTCTCTTCGATCGAGATCTTTTGTTGGATTCTGGAGATAAAAAGGAGAGTCAAGATGATGACGATTTGACATCGGAAATTCGGTTACCGTTGAATAAATTATTTATTGACGATCCGTCGTCGTCATTGTCGGAGGTGGATGAATTGGACAGAATTGTACCAGGAACATATTGTGTTTGGACACCGCCACAGTCACGATCACCATCGCCGTCTCCGTCGCCGTCGAGATGCAAGAAGAGTAATTCAACTGGATCGTCGTCTAAACATCGGTGGTGGTTGCGAGATTTCCTACATCTTCGAAGATGCAGCAGTGGCGGCAAAGAATCGTACGTGTTTATGAATCCAGATCATAATAATAAAAAGAAGGAAAAGATAGACAAAGGCAAGACCTCACCGGCGGCGAAAGCCGGCAAGGGGAAGGCGAAAGAGAAAACGTCGGCACATGAGGTGTTCTACGTGAGAAATAAAGCCTTGAAAGAAGGAGATAAGAGAAAATCATATTTGCCGTACAGGCGAGGATTGGTTGGCTTTTTTGCTAATGTGAATGGACTGGGCAAAGCTTTTCCTCCACTTTAATTTTTCCAAAAAAAGCGAAAAAAAAAAAAAAAAAAAAAACAGGCGAGGATTGGTTGGCTTTTTTTGCTAAATGTGGAATGGACTGGGCAAAGGCCTTTTTCCTCCACTTAATTTTTCTAAAAAATAGCGAAAAAAAAAAAAAAAAAAAAAAAAAAAAAAAAAAAAAAAAAAAAAAAAAAAACAGAAAAATGAGAATTTCTTTTCATGGATTGCAAGAGTTTGAGCTCTGTTTGCTTCCATTTTTTTTAATTATCAGTATTAATTATGTAATTATAATATGTAAATATTTGTGCAGTTCGACTCTTTAAAATTATATATATTTTTAGGAATTAATTATTACACAAGAAATATAATAAATTGAGAATTGTTTCTTTTTTTGGCTGCTAAATAAAAAAAGATTAAATATTATTTAATAAGAATCTTGCAATCTTATAACTCATATCAATGGGCCCTTTTTTCAATCAACCCTCTTTCACTTCACCAAGCAAGTCCAAGTTGAATATTAATTTTTAAAGTTCATACAAAATACCAGTGAAGTGATTAATAAAACTTATTAGGAAATTTCTTTTATATTAATTTGAAAATCAAGATTTGAATATTTAATTTCTCAAATCTTATTCAAAGACGTGCAGCGATATTAGATTTAGTCATTTCTATTTTCTTTTTTCATTCCCAATACCTAAAATCTATATATGTATGTGGAAGAAAATTGAAGTTAACATGATAACATGTTTTGGTCTTGTTTGGTGGGTGTGAAAGTGAAGTTGATTATTTTCTTGTGAGAGAGATTGTGACACTCAAATTTTTCTAATTTTGATGAGGTAAGATATCACAATACTTATTTCATGAATGATAGAATTTGTGCCTCTTTGATCTGATGTGTAAGTAAATTTACCTAATTTTGCTGTTGTTACTTACATATCAAAGGACAAGCATTTGATTAAATAAATACAAAAATGATAATCAATTATTAGAATATAGATAACATCTTAAATTTGGTTTTTGTTGTTTTGTGCTATTTTGGTGTTGGTTAGGAAAATTTTAATTACGAATATTTTTTTTATACTAATGAATATTTAATTATGATAGTGTGTGTTTTAATTTATATTATAATTATAATTAAAAAATCAACTTATACGAAATGATGAAACTAAAAAACAATCACCTAATCACCATCTATAAAATTAATTGCAATTAGGCCACTACTTAATAGTTTGTTCTTAAAACTCAAGAGCGAATTTATGTATTTAGCTGAAAAAAAAGGTAGAAAATACTTTTAATGTTTGGTGCAAATGGTGTATGGTACTAATAAAAGAAAATGCATGGAAAAAGTGGAAAGGAACAACACAATCCCAAAATGGTGGCTGAGAGTTCATCCTTTCTATGCACTTTGCTTAGCTATTATATTCTATTCATAGATGGCTTTTTTAAAAAATATTATGGGAAGTGAGAACTCAAACTCAAAGTTCAATAATTTCATTTCTCATTGAATGTGTACAAATTGGATCAAAGCAACAATAATAAGAAAAGCAAAAAAATATATATATATTCTTCACTAAAAAAATAGATTATAAAAATTATTTTAATAAATAAATAAATAAATAAAATATGATTTGACAATAGTGTATAAGTTAATTAGAGTTACATTAGGTGACAATTTAAATTTGATAACTTTGGATTTAATAATGACAAATGTTAAGTTTTGAAAAGGATGGTTAAGGTGAATGGTGGGTCCCATAATAAGACTAATCTTAGCTTGACCAATGCAATTCTTGAATCAAATTAATAATTGGTCCAATTCCATCATAGTTTTTTGTCATATCTCAACCAACAAATTCTCCCATTCTAAACTCATCTAACAAAATATTTAATGACAAAAAGAAAAGAAAAGAAAAGAAAAGAAAAGATTCCCCATCCATTTTAATCCTTCAAGGGAGAAGGTGTGAACCAAAGAAAATAAGCAATTATCTTCTCAAGTAATTTATAATTTGATAGTGATTGAAGAAAAGAATTAACTTTTAAGACAAAACTTTTTTCCTCTTTTGAGTATTCAACAAATTATTTAAATATATGTCCATACCCAGAGTTATATAATTACCTCATTTCTGTTTAAATATTAAAATGTGATTCTTGATGGGGATTAGTGTTTAATCAGTTTGAATTAAATCAATATAAATTGAATAAATATATTTTTTTTAGATGAAATCAAATTGAATTAATTAATATATAGAACTAAACCAAACTAAACTTTTAATTCAATTTCTTTTTTGGGCTTAATTAAAATAAACTGGACAACAAGGGTAATCAAATGATAGACTCAGTAATATGAATATTTTGTTTCCATTTTGCTTCTTTATTATTTATTTTTTTATTTTCATAACTGAGTCCATACTAATATCAAGAAATAGTATATATATATATATTTTTAACCATCCGGTGCCTGGCGGACTCACAAAAAGGCAAAGCACTTTCTCCAAATTGTTTAAAAAGATTATACTCAGGGCTCGAATTCGAGACTTCTAGTTAACGGATAAAGAATTTTTGTTATCTCGTCTCATTCCTTAGAGTAAGAAATAGTAAATATTTTCAGACAATTTTTTAGGTCTATCTCTTTCCCTTTTAGCGCCCTCTACTATTAATATACTTACAAATCGAAGCACATGAGAGTTTTCTTATAATATAATATACTAATGGCACTCCTCCTCCGTTGTTTCCATCTTATTCTATTTCTATAGATAATATCTTCGTTATCATGTTACCTTATTGAAATCTATATCTATATAAATATATAATTTTTAAGGACTAAATGCTTATGTGGCAATATATTATAATATAAAAGTGACGATAGGATATTCTATTTTTTCATTATAATTAATATATTTTATATTTAAAAAAATTTGAGAATTTAAAAAAAAACCAATAATTTTACTTTCCATCATTTAATTAAAAGTATATAAGTAAATTATTTAAATTAAAGCAATACAAATATAAATTAAAATATTTTTTTGAAAATTACATTCAATTTAATTTAAAAAAAATATAAAATTTACAACCCGGGCATCACGTGGGTTCGATCTGTTTCATCCAAGATCCAACTATGCCAGCCATAATTCTTGGGCCCTTTAAAAAATTTCCATATCAGCAATGGAAATTCAAATTTTGAGTTTGGGCTTTGCTTTATTTGTTTAGATAGAAATTGGATTTCACTTGTAGTTAGGCCCAATGGTATCTATGCTAAATCAAAGTTAGCTACTATTAAAACCAAATTGGTTCGCTAGCTGTTCTTAGAAGAGAGAAATAATCAGAAATTAGCCTCAGAAAAATATTAAACATAATACATTTATTGAGAGAGAACCTAACCCTAAAAACCAAAAAATGTTTGGCAGAAAATAGACAAATTTATCATAGAAAAAAAAAAATTATCATAGAAAAAAAAAAAATGCACAGACAGAAATTCGCGACAAACCAATAGAGAGGTTTTAAATAGAAAATTAATTTAACCAATCAAAATTGGATTACCGGCATTTTCAACCAATAAAATTAAAATTCTATTAAATTACAGTAAACTTTCTAATAGAAATTTAGATTCAAATAGTAAATTAAATAACAAATCAAAATTAAACTACATTTATTTTTCAACTAATAAAATTAAAATCCTTAATAATATTTTTATGTCAATTCATAAATTTAGCAAAGGCATTTTAAGAACTCAATATTCTCCGATTGTACTTTTATATATATCATAGATATTACACATATTTAACTCAAACTTCTACTTGTATTTTTAGTGATCTAAAATATACTGTCACTGTTCTCAAATATTTATCACATTTGAGAAAAGTACTATATTCCCAAATACTTATCAAATTTATGAATTTGATAAACAATAATTTATTTCTTTCGTTTTTACTCTTTGTATATGATCAACAGTGATTGAATGATTTTTTACTCAAATAATAAATTAAGGATAACATGGTAAATTCAATCAATAATTTATTATAAATTAGATAAATTGAATAGTTTTCTCAAGAAACGTGAAAATACCCAAATGTGACAAGTTTTTGAGAATATATGTAGTAATTAATTTGAGAAACCTTTGATATTTTGTACTATTTCTTTCCAAAATATAAGTCGTTTTGAGTATTTTAAAAAATAATAAATGATATTTTTTCAATACTATTCTTATTTACGTTAGATACAATAACTGCGTTCACAAATTACTTTTGATTTTTAGATATAAGATAATTTGGTTTTAATGGAAGTTAGGAAGATTAATTACTTTTTTAATCTCGTGCAAAAACCTTAAACGATTTATATTTTGAGAGACACGGAGTACAATATAAATTTTAGGGGTAAATTATACCAACGGTCACCTAATTTTACACTTAGTTTTATTTAAATCATGTAATTTTAATTTATCATATTTTAGTCACTTAACTTTAATTTTTTTTCAATGGGAGGTTACTTACGGAAATTCGGTAACCGGAATATTAATATAATATTAAAAATTACATATATCACAAAAATAAAATCATGATTACAATAGAATATAACAAAAAGAAAACAATACTACACAATATAAATTATAGAGTGAAAATTTTGTTCTCTTTTATCTTTTTTTTTTATTACATTTTTTATTAAATAAATTAATAGATATATTCTAAATTAATGTATTAGGAGAAAATATGAAATTTTTAAAATAAAATTTTTTATCTCTATTACTTCTTAGTATTTTCGATAATAGTTTTTTGGTGATGTTGACAATCATCAAAGTTTAGCTTTATGAAATTAAATGTGAAGTTAAGTGCCCACCGGTGTAATTTACTCTAAATTTTGATTTTTATTGTTATAAAATCAACAATTTTTTTTCCTAATGTTTATTAATGACTTACACTCTTTTTTGTTTTTGATAATTTAATGATTTACACTTTAATTAGTATTTAATTATATAATTATAAGACTCCCTACAATTTATTAATTACCATTAATTAAACTAGTTCCATTTTTTAACTTATAATAACTCATAAAAATTATATTTTACCAATATAATATTATTTTTGCAAAAATATGTTTTCTTTAAAGAAATGAAACAAGACAATAGATACTCAATACATACAAAATCCATTGGCATGCACATGGATTATTCCTGATCCGTCAGGTCATGATCTTGCTAATTACGAAAGGGAAGAAACTTCCTCCTTTTGGGGTGTCTCCATATATAATTAACCATTTACTGATATCTTCACTTCAATAAAAATGCTAAAAAAAAAAAATTACCTCCATATTCAATTATTTAATTATTTTTTCTTGCGTCAAATATATTTTTATATTCAATGCAAGAACTTCTTAATTTCCGACTTTATCGATAAAATTTGATTAAAATTATATTTTCATTTCATTCGTTTAATCACTTATTTAATTATTATTAATTGAACACAGAAAATTTATTATCATTATAACTTAAACGTGCAGTAAAAGATTGAATTTATATTCAAAACTATTAAATTATATTGCTAGCTTGAAATATTGCATTACAACTAAATAAAAAAAAAATATATGTATTTAATTTTGTTAAGTGAACATACAAACTTCTTCATTAAAATGATGATAATTTTGACAAAACACACTAATATAACAAAATATTTAATATTTATTTACAATATATTAATGTAAATTTACAATAATTAAAAATTTATTTCCTGGTGAATTTATTTTCCTGGAATTAAAGGTAAATCAACCTCATCACACCATTCAACACACCTAGTCTCAAAATATGAACTCTTCACTTCACTTGGCCAGTAACTTACCCACACTTGCCCTCCTATTCTCCATTTCAAAACACTTCCTTCCATTTCCTTGTTCAATCTCCACTCTACTCCTTCCCCATATTCATCTCCTGCAAACACCATTCCTCTTGTTTTCGTAAATGGTCTTCTGTGCCCATTCCAATTATATCTATTTCGACTGTTATTACTGTTACCGTTATTGTTGCTGCCATCACTAACATCATTGTTCATCATTTTCCACGTGGCAACTTCATAACCAGTATCATTGTATAAAACGGCGTCGAAAATAACACTATTTCCCTCCGCGTCTTGGTCCCACCTCCAATTTTTAATCCTTGTCCTTGTTGCCATTTTTGCCCTAGTTTTCACCTTAGGAGCTTTTGATTCTTCATCAAAATTTCCCTTTCTTACTCTTTGCATTTCCACTTCTCTCTCTCCATTATCAGTGGACCGGCCCAAACTAAATCCCACCACATAAGTTGCCCCAACCTCCGGCCCAGCCCAAACTCGAGCTCGAGACACAAAATGCCTCTCCTCCGCATAATCAACATCTTCTTTTCTATTAAACCCTAATTTTGCCACGTGGAACCGTAGATTGTCGACTCGCGCAATAACCCGAATATACCCGTCAGAGAAAGTAACAGAATATTCCAACTGTATAACTGCCTCCAACTGTTGATGAGCCAAGGCGTATTTTAGCACTGAATCCCTGGCTTCAATAACAGGAAATTTATAATTTCCAGAACATTTAGCAACATTCATAGCCAAAATAGGTGCGTACCCTTTCAAAACCCAAAACCCATGGGCCTCCGTTGCATATGAGAATCTTACTTGCTGGCCGACTAGTGGGCCCAACAAATGTAAACCTGAACCCACTTGTTTTAAAATGAGCCATTTCGTTAACATGTAGCCGATGGTGCGCATGAAACACAGCTCGGCATCTACTCCTACAGTAACCAAAAAGGTCCTCAAAACAGGACCCTTTTCACTACTCAAAGCTTCAAGGTTCGGACCCAATAGCGACTCAAAATAGAAAGACCCAACCTCGCTAGGCGCGTCACATACACATAGCCAAAACAAGCGCGTAAGAAACACTAAATTAAAAAAACTTGAAAATGACTCGGGCGAATGAGAGTCCATAATCCAAGAAATCGGGTCGGGTTTAAGTTTCTGAAGCTGTGAACGTGGACAAGTGCTATTTTGCGCCATAGGTGAACGGGTGATGATTTCTTGTAGAAGCTGGAGAAATAGCGGGAGAAAGGGTTTGTCCGAGTTTAAAGGACACGTGTCAGAAACCCAAAGAGTCTTTGAAGCACTATTAGGGTGAAACCCATGCAAGCATATAGAGAAGGTAACCAAAAGGTCTGAGTTGGATCCAGCAGTTCTCTCAGCTCTAAGTTGAATCGTCCGAGTTGACTGATAATTTCCAGCGAGTTTTGGTGAGGAGCTAGCAATTTCGAAGATTTGAGCTGAGTCAGACTCGGACCACTGGACCGAGTCAGGAAGCTCACAAATCCAGGACCATATATCCATGATCAGTTTTATTGGTTTTGGAGTTTTTGTTGGTTAATTTGGAGAGAGGAGTTGTTTAGGTGATGGGATTTTAATTTAAAGAGAGAATGAGTGAAAATGGATATGAAAACTTGGAGCTAACAGTAGCCATGGAAGAGAAGCAGTGGCTATAAGTTGTTGAGTAGTGTATTTTTGAGCGGTTTGAGTTGAAGTTGTATTTATTACAGAAGATTTTTCTTTTCATGTCTGTATTGAGTGAAATCTTGATTGGTAGATGAGGTGACTACAGATAACACATGAAGGGTTGATAAATTGCTATTGCACGTTCAATTTTAAATCACAAAAAACTTTCTTCCAATTAAGAAAATTTGGAACACCACATATATTAATTATTTGAATATTTATTTTGAATGTTCGGTGATGCTGTTAACTGTTAGATATATTACAAAATAACTTAAAAAAATATAAATTATTAGCTATTATATATATAAAATAATTTTAAGAAATTCAATTCATTGTCGACAAACGCTAAATGAGTTTTTAATTTTACAACAAAATGTTAGAGAAATAATATTTCATAAACATTCTAAACTTCCGAACTCTATAAAAAAATATCATGTTACCAAGCAATATATTTAATAAGTTTAACACTTTAACTTCATTTAAATCGCTAAGCATTGCTTTAATTAGTATTCTATGGATCTTAATTTTTATTTGGAGCGTAAGTTGAGCTAATTACATCTATATTTAATAGACAAATATATTTTTGTGTCAACTTTTATACATCAAAACTAAATATACTTTTAGGATATTAACTATAGTTATATTTGTATGCATTACTATTTATTAAAAATTTAGCCATCTAATATCTATAGACAGTTGGATTAATAAAAATGTATTACATTTTCAAGTGGAATTTATTTATAATGTCAAATATTTGAATTTTGAAATCGACACTATTAAGAGATTTTATCTAAATATTATCCCGAATTCGAACATAAAAAGTGCAAATAACTTTATATATATATATATAAGAACTAGCTACTTCAAATACGTGTGCATAGAAGTAATTTGTTGAGGGAGACAAAGAGGCTACGCAAGACTCTATTTGGTGTTACTATGTTTCACAAATTAGCTTTTCTACTGTCAAAAGGAAACTGATTATTTAAATTGAAGTCGACCGAATTCTATTATATCATTAAAAACTAGAAGATAGAAATTATTAATACATGAAATAATTAAAATTTTTTGGCATTAATTAGAGAAGGATTAATTATCAGATTGTGCTTCGATTTCCATTTTTCACCTAATAAACAAATTGAAAAAAGCTTCACAGCTGGACTAATTCCGTCCATTAATTTTCCTCCAATAGCGTTTGCCAATTAATAAATGAAGGGATGGAAAAAATGGAAAAACTTTAATAAACACAATGGAACATATATATATATCATTAAAAACTAGAAGATAGATTATTAATACATGAAATAAATTAAAATTTTTTGGCATTAATTAAGAGAAGGAATTAATTATTCAGATTGTGCTTCGATTTCCAATTTTTCCACCTAATAAACAAATTGAAAAAAGCTTCACAGCTGGAACTAATTTCCGTCGCATTAATTTTCCTCCAATAGCGTTTGCCGAATTAATACAATGAAAGGGATGGAAAAAATGGAAAAACTTTAATAAACCACAATGGAACATATATATTATATATATATATTAATATATATATATATATATGGCTTTATATATGGCTTTAATATTGGACATTTGGACTTTAGCTTTGCCAAACATTTTAATCAATATATATATACGGACACTAATAATTAATTATAAAGAGACAGTCGTGAATCCGAAATGAAAATAGTCTCCCTTTAATACTAAAAAGATTAAGAATTCGTTTATTTCCATAAAATAATTTAGAGAAAAATATTTTTCACAATTTTACATTATTACGGGTGTTTAGAAAAATAAGTTAACGGAAATATTTTCCTGATTAAAAGAAATTAAGCCATTTTTAAGAAAAATGATTTACTATTCTTAAAGAGGAAAATATTTTTCGGACGTTAATAAATTTATTATGATCATATAAGCGCATATTTTTTAATGTATTAATCATTAGTAGCCACTGCTACTAGTCACCGTTCATTACCAACCATCACTACCGGCCACCATCTGCTACCATTATTTACTAGTGATTTTCATAATTTATCATTTTTTCTCATATTTAACAATGAAAATTTTTAATTACAAAATTTCTATTATTATAAATATTTTTATGGTCTTATGAGTTAAAAATTCTAATATCTTTTAACTAATTTTCAACATTGCACCCAAAAAAACTGAAAATAAATCATATGCAAATTATTTTTCAAGGAAAAATTTTTCTTAAAGAATATTTTCTAAAAGTAAATTATTTTCCGGAAAGCAACGGAGAATTATACAGGAGAAAAAAAAACCGGTGTTTAACTTCTTCTGCTTCATTTTCATCGGCCTTAGCTTTGAGCCTTTTGTTATCTACGCCTGCTTTGTGGTGCTGTTTATTATAGGTTCATCTTGTTGTTAATTAGTAAATGGCTATGCTTTATTTTATCAATAATCCTTTCCTAGCTTCAGTGTATTATGTATATACTCGGTGAATCCAGCCCGCACATTGGTCTGATCAAAGAATTTGGTGGATGGTTCATTGATTTAATCCACGAGTCAATGATTCGATCAGCAGGTCATAAGGAATATTAATAATATAGATTAATTAAATAATTATAATGTAAAAATAATTATAGATGTCAACGAATTAAACTGCCTGGTCGAACTGGTCTGATTCAACCATTTCGACCACTATTCAGCCAGTTCATTTCGGTTCACTTCTTGTACTGATTCAATAGCAGTATTGGTTTGGTTTAAGGTTCAGGTCACTGGTTTTCTAGATTAATCCATCGGTTGATCAACCTTAATTGAACTGAATTTTCATAGAAAACACCTATAAAATATTAATGGAGCCGAACACGTTTTAAAAGAAAATCAAATACAATGATATTTTAATTTGGAGTTTTGTTATTAATTATAATGAATCAATTAAATATATATGATTTATAAATTAAATATCCTTAGTTAGTTTTTTAAAATATGTTCTTAATCAAAACATATATTTATAATGACATATTGCTATACTAAAAATAATCTATTATATATATTATCGATAAAAAGATATTAAAAATAGTTTATTTCTAATAAAAATTGTGTGATATATTAATTAATAAAGAAATTGATTATCTGGATTAGTTGGGTATTATGAATTTTGAGGTAAGTAATCCAAGATCTAAAAAAATAGAAACTTTTTTCACACGTTAAAAATCAAATGAAATCACTAATAAGGTGTTTGTTAGAGTGCAAGTTTGAATTCTGGGAAATGCACTTGTTGAGAGAGCCAAAAAACTTTTACACTCTATTGAATTTTATAGACCAAATGGGGATTTTCGATTATGATCGAGGAAATGACTTACCTAGTCTTAGAGTATGGAACATGCATGCATACATCAAAGTTATTTTTTGTGGTAATTATTTATAATTTAATGTATGGGTAGATCCATATACGAATGTAGGTAAGTCTTATCTTATAATCAAATCGCAGTGAAAATCTTTTTCAATTTCACACTGAATTATCAAAAGAAAAAAAAAAGCAATCAAAAATAAGAAAAACATTAAAACACACACTATATATATATATATATGCACACACACATAAAGACATAAGAAAAATATAATGCTGCCCTCTATTTGGATTCGTTTCCTTGAAGTTGAGATTAGTAGCTAATAAGGTTTCTAATGGCAAAGGAGCATCTCTGCCAATAAAATGGCAGTTATTGTAATTGATGAAGCAAAAGAAACACACAATGGATTGCAATTGTGTCTTCATGCTAGCTATTATAATTTTTTACCAAATTGCTTTTTCAAGAAATGATTGGTTAGTTGCAGATTAGATATGGTGAATTCTAATTGTTATTAGTTCCTCACTTATCATTTTGATGTGCATGCAATTGTTGCTTTTGGAATTGATGAAGCAAAAGAAACACACAATGGATTGCAATTGTGTCTTCATGCTAGCTATTATAATTTTTTACCAAATTGCTTTTTCAAGAAATGATTGGTTAGTTGCAGATTAGATATGGTGAATTCTAATTGTTATTAGTTCCTCACTTATCATTTTGATGTGCATGCAATTGTTGCTTTTGGTTTGTTAGATTTTAATTAGAGTTTAACTCCTTATGTTAATTTTAATATGTAATTATAACGAATTTTACGAAAATAATTTATATTTAAATAAAACTATAAATAGAGCTGAATTTTATTGAGTTCGAATTTGATTTATTAAAAATATACTCAAATCCAAATATTTTGATTTGTTTATTAAATATGTCCTTTGTGTAGCTTATATACATCTATATGTTCAGATAATACTATTCATAAATCAAGAAAATGATATAGTTTTTATTAGATAACGTTTGAACTCGAAAACTGAGTAAAATAAAATGAAAATTGATTTATGTGAATTTTAACTTAGTTAATGGGTATTCGTGCTCAAGGGTTTCAAATGACGTGCATTCGTATGCCATATTAGCAGGTTAAGAAATTGTAAAAAGAATTTCAAGAACTACATTGTCTGTTTAAATTTCGTTTTCAAGAAATTGAAATATCAAGCAAGCATCAACCTCGTAGGGTAGAGGAAATAAAAAAATATAAAAAAATTATACATCACATTCTCACAATCTCTCCAATGTGAGAGAAATATATATTTTAGGGATCAAAAGGGTAGGACCTTATCTCTATGATCCATCACCCATTTGCACCATTGATTTTCATCCATAGATTCATTGTATGCCACCTATCTGTTATTATCACTATCAGTACATTCTTTCATCATCATTTTCTCCGTTACTGACACGTGTTAGCCCTTCAACATTCTCAGAAAAAATATGTATGTATTTTTGAAATATTTATTATTTTTATTATTATTAAACTTTTCTTAAAAAAATAAGAAAAGGGTACGCGAAATTAAATCTTTCACCCTCTAGGTATTAAGCATATAATACTCATTGAAGTATTAGGTTGGTCGGATTGTAGAGAGTGATCTTTTTCAATTTAATATATTATAATGTAATTAAGTACATTTGTTTTATGAACATTTTTTTAGAAATGCATTTATTTGAATCATGTTTCAATTGATGACGGTGGAACCGGTCATCAAACACATTCTAAATATATAATATGATTTAACGTTCATATTATATACAAGTGCATTACCTCCGGCACAATGAATAATTTCCTTGTGTTTTGCAAGTCTTTTCATAAGCCAATACATCCAAAATAAGACTTGGAGGAGTTACACCCCACTCCAAGAAGCCAGACCCAGAAACAACAGCTCTAACAAACTGGTGAGCTTTTTATAAAATTAAAAGAAATAGAGGTAAAACCTTTAGCTAGAGTTTTACAATTTGAAATAACAGTCCCAAAATAAGAGTTATCCTTTTTAGCATTTTTCATAGCCTGAATCACCAGCATCGAGTTAGTCTCCATCTCCACCGCATATGCTACTGCCTGCGACTTTAGCCAACTAAGCGCTTCCTTAATCCCTATCGCCTCAGCTATCAAGGAATTATAAACACCATGCACCATCGATAGCCTAACCCCAGCACATAACCAAGAGAATCCTGCAAAAGCGACACCACACCCAATCGGCCATTTGCTGCTAAGAACGTAGCGTCAACGTTGTACTTCACAATGCCAGGTTGAGGAGGATTCCACTGCACCGACAAAGGCTGAGCAGTGGAATGAGTTACTATTTTTGAAGCCTGAGCCGCAGACCATTCAAGAAGCAACTGCTGCGCACGAAACACACAATCTTGCGCAATAAGAAAACGAGACTCCGACACTACCTTGTTCCATATAACAAATCGCCTGCAGAAAATAGAAATACATAGCCCACATCCATTTATCATAACCCATAAAGAACTGGAACCAATCTGTGTGTATCAAAATGACGCCATGCAACACCATCCAGCAAAAACCAACACTCCATCGCAAAGGGACAATACAGGAAACAATTCAATGTCGTCTTAGTTTCTGCATTACACGAAGAACACACAGGATCCAGCGTCACCTTGCGTTAGATAAGATTGTTCTTCACCGGCACAATGTTTGAAAAAAAATCCTCCAAACCAAGTTTAATGCGGCACTTGCTCCCTCTACAACCCCAATCCCAGCTAATTCCCCGTTGCAAATTAAACCCTTGCGCTTGCTCAACCATGTACTGATACCCACTACCAACCAAATAAATTCCCTTAGAATCCCACCACCACATCCATCCATCTTCTCCCTGCATAAAGTGAATAGGGATTATGAGAATCAATTGAACTTCCTCCATCGTAAACAAACCGCTAACAACATCCATATCCCAACCACTCCTATCTGGCAACATCACGTCAGAACCCATAACCTCCTCTATACCCATGTCATTCATACTCTGAATAAAAGGCTGCCGTGGATCCGGAAGCCATGGACAACAAAAAACATCGGTACCCCGGCCATTACCAATCCGCCGTATACAGCCTGCCCGTAACAAATCTTGACTTTTCATTGTACTTCTCTAGATGTAACTCAGATTCTTTCCCACCTCAGCTTGCAAAAAGTTTACATCACGAAAATATTTTGCCTTATACAATCAAGAGGCAAAAGACTGGGGCTCATTCAAAAACTTCCGACCCTGCTTAGCTATTAATGCAATATTAATCTCCTGAATATACGAAACCCAATTAAGTCCACCATGATCCTTCTTCGCAGCAAGCTTCTTCCAACTACACTAGTGAATCCCTGAGTCACTATCCACTGTCCGTCTCCACCAATATTTGTTCATCAATTTGAATACTACTGATAATTAAGAGTTGCTTGTTAGAATCGGAATAGACATTTATTTATACATTCAATCAATTTTAAAAAATAATAAGATTTGATTACACGTTAAACTATCAAACATAAAGTATGTGCATATTAATATTAATTTCATATATAAATTTCTATCTAGTATACATACATCTCTTTTTCCAAAAGTTTTGACGATTTGAATCTATATATTAAACTCATAATTTCAAATTACTAGAGCTATATATATCATGGTTCTGAAAATCATACCGGTTTGACCGTTTAATTGGACACCGGACAGTGTTTCGGTCCGATTTGAATAGTCAAACCCCAAGATTGAAAAACTGATGATAATCGGTGCAATCCCAATAAAAACTGTCGAGCCGATTTAAATAATTACTACAATTCAACTCAAATCGAGGAAAAAAAAAAAAAGAAAAAGAAAATCGAATGAGAGAGAAAATTGGAGGGTGCGGGTTCATGTGAAGGTGGTCGGTCCATCTTTGCCTGAAGTGGCTCCCCAAGACGCTTCACCTGGTGCCGGCGGTGACACCTACTGTTCGGTGGTCGGACTCCAATCGGTGATGAACGTTCTGACTTATTTTAAAATTTGATCTCTCTGCTGGACTTTTTCTTTAATTGTGATGGATTTATATTAATAGAGATGAGTTATCATTGGCTTATTCCTCTTTTTAATTAAGTGGTTTCCTTACTATAAATAGATATACACGCTATTTTTTCTAAGGTGAATAAAATATACATATTTTATTTCTTTATTTACCAACATCTCCCATTATCACGATCTAAATTTTATTTTATTATTGTTTTATTTTATTTATTAGTTTTTAATTAGCAATAATAATAATAATAATAATAACTCATTTCCTATAATTCCTTGTTAGAATTCCATGGACACTATATATTGAACCTGTCACATACCCTTTGTTTTTAATTTGTATTGTTATTTTATTTTATTTTATTATTATATTTTCTAAAGTAAATTTAATTTTTGTTTTGTTTATTATTATAATTAGTTAAAAGATTTTATTAAATTGAGTTTTATATTTATATATGTTGAGTTTATATAAGTTAAATGACATACTATATATAATTTTTTATATTTTTTAATAATTATTTTGTATTTGAAAATCATATTTTTTAATTATAAAAAAATATATTTAAAAATGTTATATATAAAAATTTAGTTTAACCGTATTAAACTCGGTTGAACCTTTTGGTTCAATGAACTCTTATCTTCACCGGTTCAATGATCGATCCGATTATCAGAATATTGATATATATATATATATATAATTTGTAACGGGGCGAATACCCATCGCATGTACGGAGAAAGATTTATGATAAGTGGTAGTAACATATTTGCAAATAGACATATATTTGAAGTATTTGAAATGATAAAAAAGAAAAAAAATGAAAATGGGAAATGAATCTCCAACGTCCAAACCTAATCTACAAACGCAGAAGTGTTGATTGAGTAACCCAGTCAAGTGTAGTGTCCTTTGCGCAATGTCGACGGCTTCGATGAACGTACTTGTGGTGCCTCACCTCTCTCTCCCTTCTCAGTCTTCTCTTCTCTAGAGAGAGCTACACTACTTCCTTGTGTTTTTGCTAGGCTTTCCTCTTCTCCTGTTACTCTTATCAGAAACGAGCTTGTTTTTGCTGCTCCTGCCCCTATTATCAATCCTAATTGGGTACTCTTTCTTTTCTTCCCTTCCTCTTTCTGCATTATATACATTTCAAAAATTATCTTGTTTTTCTTTTCCTCCTGCACTTGTGTTTTTGGTTTGCATCAGTATTTTTACGCTTGTCTAAAGTGTTATTCAAATAAAATTTTATAATTCTGAAGTTTTAGCCGATTTAACCGTAGAATCTCATTTTTAAATATATTAAGTGTTATTGGAAAAAGAAATGCTAGATTGAAGTTTTTTTATAAGCACAAATTGATATAGAATTGTCTCAAGATGTCTTTTTTACAATTATTATTCCTTTATTATTTGAGACTATACTCATATGTATGGATCTAATGGGTGCCACCTTGACTTGCATTTTCCTAAGTAGCAACCCTTGAATTTCCAGACTGATGAATTTATGTTCATTATTTCCAGACAAGTAGAATTTATAAATCTAATAATATTGTTGAAATATCTAAATCTATATTTTGTTTAATGTAATGCTCCAGAAATTTAGTAGATTCATATGAAAATACATTTAAAATGGAATTTAAATCTAAATTCAGATTCTTTGAACTCTAAAAACTCCAAACGTATTTAATAATATTTAAATTCTATACATTAATTAACAAAAAAGGAAAGCAAGTAGTAGCAGCCGCCAAAATTCATCATCATCACTTTCCACTTTCCAGTACGTAATAATGAGGAGGAGTTTAGATATTTTGCTATCAAATCAAAAGTTTTCCACGTGTCACTTCAAAGCCTAAAAGGTTCACAGACATCTCTTGCAACCGGGCCCTGTGCCACGCAATTCTTAGCTCTTGCCCAGTTTCTCTCTTTTCTTCTCCTCTTCTCCCATATCGCTTCGATCTGCAAATTCTTCACGAAAATTTTCAATCGATAATCACTAGTTACTCCTACTAACAAAAAATGTCCTCTCTGCAACTTTCTGGTTGCAGTAGAGCACTCCATTTCCTACCTGCAACTTCCTCCTCTTCGTCTTCGTTTTGGGGAAGAGATCTGTGCTTCGTCAGTGGAGTATCCGTCTCCGTCTCCAAAAAAGAGATTAATAAGGTCGTTCGCTACAGTAAAAGAAAAGTTAGAGTTTATGCAATGTCAAGTAATAGTAACAATTCTTCGTTTAAGATGAATTTGAATGAGTATATGGTTACTCTTGAGAAACCTTTTGGTATTCGCTTCGGTCTCTCCGTTGATGGCCAAATCTTCGTTCACGCTATCAAGAAAGGGGTATTCAGTGTTTGCAGTTTGTTTCTTTGATTTAATTTGTTTCTTTATCTTTGGTGGTTAATATAAGTGAAAATGTTAATCTGCAGGGTAACGCGGAGAGGTCTAGGATCATAATGGTGGGTGACACTCTGAAAAAGGTGTCTGATTTGTCAAACGGCAGGCTTATTGCGATCACCGATTTTGGCGATGCACAGTAAGAAATAGTTGTGCTTCTGATGATTGTTCAGGAATGTCTAAGTGATTTATGTAGTTATAGGACGGATTTTGAATTCTTGGTCTTGATGATTGTGGTTATGCTTGTAAATTAATTCTCGTTGATGGAGGAATTAGTTGAGGTTTTCACATTAACTCATTGCTCTGTGCAGTTCTTCATTCTCTGTTTCTTACATCAACTAGACACTGACGTTCAGGTTACTGGTTCATATTTCGGATGTAGAATTCTTCTAGTTATTATTATTTGTTGGCCATTATGTTCTATTGGTATTTGATTTAGTTGTCTAATTTGACATACAATAGTGAATCAGAACTCTGAATGGTCTGTTGGGTTTTAATAAGCGTATGGTTAATCCCTTCCAGTTCAAAAAGGATGATGAACACTTTTGATTCCATGGGCTTGTAGCCGCAGATAATTGATCCCTAGCGTTCCTCAAAATTTTGAAGTTTCTTCATATTTCTACACCTGAGGATTCGTTCTATTCATCAAGGTTTTCATTTTTATTTTTTTCAGTTTTTGGTTTCTTCAGGATGATGCTGATGGAGAAGACTGGATCTTTTAGCTTGATCCTTGAAAGACCCACTTCCCCTTATCCAATTCATCAACTACATCATTTGAGTGATATTGACATGATGTTCAATAGAGGACGTGCTCCTATTGCCACTTGGAACAAAACAATCCTATCATCAAATTTAAAAAGTTCTGAGGGAAGTGGGAATTCTGGGTTTATAGCATTTTCTTCAAAGTTTTTAACACCCCCTGGATGGAAGCTTTTGAATGATCAAAGTGGATATGTGGAATTAACTGCAGTAAAAATCTTTCGCCCTCCTGTGAGCCAATTTGTTTCTTTCTTTTCTGAGGTGGAGTCTGAAGATGGAGAATGGGGTTATGGGAGCTTTCCTGTGGAGGAGTATATCAAGGCACTAGATCGTGCTAAAGGCGAGCTACACTACAATCATGGACTCGGTACAATTTATAGTAAGGTGTGATATTCAATTTCGCGTCTAATATTATAGGATTGGTACTTACCACTGAATGCTTCACATTTATATATTTGTTTGTTTTACTCTTCATATTGTCAGGTTACAGAGCAAATATATGTTGGATCTTGTATACAAACAGAAGCTGATGTAGAAACTTTGTCCAATGTGGTAATTGCCTTTGCCTCGAAGTTGAGCAGAACTTTCAATAGATTAAACTTCTGGTCTTTGTGCAATTCCTCAAGATATCTGCTCCTATTGAAATATTCAAAAATTGGATATGTTGATTTTGAACACTGAAACTTGTGACTTTTGCAAATATAAAAATGAAGTTGCAATCCCTTAACAATGTCTGGATTCTGAGGTTCATTGTTGTATTCCAAGTATCAATTCACAGGGTTTACATTGAACTTCAGATAAAAAATTGTTTCGCTTATCCAATTAATTTGTTTTTTCATTTTTACCTGTAATACCATGCCTGACCAATTGCTTTAACATTACAAGCACCATCAGGACATGTGTATTCTTTTTCTTCGTCTTGATGAGCTATACTAGACTAATGCCATTCCATTCAGAGTACCTCCTGATATCTATAAAATTTTCCTTCTCTAGTATGTTTGCATGTGACGCATGAAAGGTAATCGATAAGTGGTTCCAGTTCATCTAGTTATTTTGCAGGGTATAATTGTTATTACCAATTGTATATCTCATTTCTAACTCTCAAGAGATCTGCAACAGGGGATCACTGCTGTACTTAATTTCCAGAGTGTTAGTGAAGCAGAAAACTGGGGAATCGATTCCAATTCAATCAATGAGGCTTGCCAGAGATTCAGCATTCTTATGATAAACTATCCTATAAGGTAAGCAAGGTATAATTCACATTTTGTCATTTTGTTTGTTTGATGAATAGAGAAGTCAAACTAGCCCTTGGGATTGTTCACTTTCTCCTACGCTGTGCATTTGTGCGTTCATGCTCATGTGTGTGCATGAAGGCATGCACTCAATATTTCAGTATCCTATTACAAGGATGTTTGATAAATTAAAAGATGTATTATTAGAAATTTACTGACTTAAAGAAATGCTTTATTATTAACTAGAAGAGTTTGAATAGATGAACATTTTAATGTATAGCTAGGTAAATTTGCTTGCAATTTTTGTTGCAGGGATACAGATTCCTTTGACATGAGGAAGAAATTACCATTTTGTGTTGGGCTCCTATTGCGCTTACTAAGACAGAACCATCGTGTTTTCATCACTTGTACAACTGGTTTTGATCGATCTCCTGCTTGTGTGATTGCATACCTTCATTGGATAACCGATACACCCCTTCATGCAGCTTATAATTTTGTCAGTGGATTGCATCCGTGCAGGCCTGACAGGTTATTCTTGCTACCCCTGTTTGTTATGTATTTAATGTTAACTGTACTGGAGATTGTTTATGATTATCTATGTTTTTCTTGTTGTGGTTTCTTAAAGAACAGGCAGGACTTCAACCATATTTCTTGTTTCTTTTTTGAGTTAAATGGAACTGAAACATGACAAACTGGGGTTATATGTATCATATATTGCAGTAATTGTTTAAAGTATCTACATATTTAGCTGGTAGAATAATATTTTTTCTGTTTCTCGAATTCATATACTAACTGGAGTCTAGGGATCACTAACTCAGTTTTCCTGTGGTAGGAATGGGAAACCATCCCTCTCTATCTCTCTCTCTCATCCTAGACACCAATATAATCCTAATTTTATATGATACTTGCAATGGACTTTAACTGTTGAAAGAAAATAAAAACGTTCTATTCTTTGCCATGAAAATTTCCAACTTTATTTTTTCTTTCTTTCTTTCTACATTCAACAAAGCATATTTAGTAGATAGAATCTTATTGGCAGACCAGCAATTGCTTGGGCAACATGGGATCTAATAGCTATGGTGGAAAATGGAAGACATGATGGGCCAGCAACACATGCTGTGACTTTTGTGTGGAATGGTCACGAGGTAACTCACCATTTAGAACTCAGATAAGAAACACGCTAGCTGTTATTTTTCTCTTCTTATGATGCTGGATTCTAATTTGTAAAGAAATTTGAAAACTGTGATCTTCAATCATAACATCTACATGAAACTAACTGGTTATAGAACAACTTGTTTGTGTGCCTCTGCATAAAAGGGAGAAGATGTGTCCTTGGTTGGAGATTTCACTGGGAATTGGAAAGAACCAATGAAGGCAAGTCACATGGGTGGTCCAAGATATGAAGTTGAAGTTAGACTTTCCCAAGGGAAGTAAGTATTATGCTTGCTGCAACAGTTCCTTGATCAACATTTTATCTCCAAAATTAAGCTTTTTATAAGTTGCTACATGTCATCTTGGTTCGTGTGTGTTTGAGAATTTTGAGGTTGTGTATTTAATCTTTCTTTAGGATAACTGTAGTGTTACTATTATCTGGGTGTGAAACCAAGCATTTAGTACTCGTAACTAGGTCTTAATGATTCTAGTTTTCAAAAGAAAACTATGGTTGATTAATTTGGTCTTTCTAAGCTGTTCACAATATTTTTGGATTTTTCCAATCCTCTTTTTTGGATGCTTGCGTTGTTGAATCTAAGCTAATATTGTCATGTGACACATGCATTGCTGTTTCTGATTTGGGATTCTATGCATTTATTTTTTTGGGTGCTTTGCAGTTTACTTTGTGTGCTATATGTTAATAAATCTGTTGGAACAGGCTTTAATCTTCTTTATTTTCTGTTCTGGAGTCATAATGCTTGTAATATATTAATCATTGAAACCTAGTCATCCCAATATTTTAGCATGACCCCTGCATTGTTTTCATTAGTATATGCGTTTATTTATCCCATCAGCCCACTCTTCTCTGTATCTAACTATTGCTCTTATACTCATTCTCTGGGTATCTAAATATCGTTCTTATACTCAACATTTATTATTTCCTTTGTAAATTGCATGTGACTTAATTAGTAGGATACAAATTTTGGAACATTTGTTTTGCAGAAAGTTGATTTTATAAACTGTAATAACATTATCTGCTTTTAGGTACTACTACAAGTACATTGTTAATGGGCAATGGCGACATTCAACAGCTTCACCAATAGAAAGGGATGAAAGGGGAAACGTCAACAATGTAATAGTGATTGGTGATACCGCAAGCGTAAGGCCTTCCATTCAACAGCAAGTGAAGGTTAGTGAAAAAACATTTATATGAATTTAAAAGTATATCCAAGGTGCTTAATTTTCTGACGTTTACCTTTTAGTTTACACATGTTGTTTGCTAGCATCTAGCTTATTTATTAACTCAAAACTAGGAGGTTAAAGAAAAAGAAAACATATCGTAAAGGCAGTTTTGCATAGGGACCTGTTTTAGAAACCAGCGGTCCCCTCCCAAAGAAAAGGAAACAAAAAAAGAAATCCAGTTGCTTATTTAAATAACTACTTCAAATCAAACTTTTATCCCCCATTGGTTTGGGATAAGATGTTTAGTCAAAATATAAGATTTGGAGCAATCCTCCTCCCCTTGAGCTAGCTTTCATGAAATGAATAACTCGGGTCCATTTTATTTTCTTCCAATTTGCTTAGTTTTGTATTGTTCAGAATTCAGCAGCTTGCTATATCCTATTTTTGCTCTTTAAGAATATATATTATACATCAAGCTTTTTATATATTACTGTTGAATAGGATTTTAACTTATTTGTAACTTATTTAATCCAAATTTAGGATGCGAACATTTTGAAGGTGATTGAGAGACCATTAACTGAAAATGAGCGCTTTATGCTGGCAAAAGCAGCTCGCTATGTTGCATTCTCTGTTTGTCCAATCAGACTAGCTCCCAAGTAATCAAGCAAATTCGATATAATGTCAGGTGACTTACATTATATATGTTCAAATATTCTTTTTTCAAGGCTAAAGTCACTACATACAAAATTTAACTATATTGATTCCCTATGTATGGAGAGATTTTGTTGTGTGATACATCTTGTAATAGTACCATGAAAGGTGGGGAATCAAAAGATGCCCCTCAAAATTCTTGAGCTAGTAATTGAAGTTAAAGACTTGGCTACGTGATGGGATTTTAATTTAAAGAGAGACTCTGCAAAAATAGATATGAAAACTTGGAGCTAACAGCCTAACAGTAGCCATGGAACCAACGGCTGTAAGTTGTTTAGTAGTGTATTTTTGAGCGTTTGAGTTGAGATTTTTCTTTTCGTGTCTTTGTCGAGTGAAATCTTTTGATTGGAGAATTGTTGCTTAACGCTTTGTAGATGAGATGGCTACACATAACACATGAAGGGTATATAAATTGCTATTGAATCTTCAACTTTAATTCACAAAAAACTTTCATCCAATTAAAAAAATTTGGAACACCACAAATATTAATTATTTAAATATTCATTTTGAATGTTCGGTAATGCTGTTAAGTGTTAGATATATTACAAAATAACTTAAAAAAATATAAATTATTAGCTATATGTATAAAATAATTTTAAGAAATTCAATTAATTGTCTGTAAACGCTAAATGAGTTTTTAATTTTACAACAAAATGTTCGAGAGATAATATTTCATAAACATTCTCAACTTCTGGACTCAAAAAAAAATATCATGTTACCAACCAATATATATTGTTACCAAACATTTTGACTTTAGTAAAATCGCTAAGCATTACTTTAATTAGCATTCTATGGATCTTAATTTTTATTTAGAGCATAAATTGAACTAATTACATCTATATTTAATAGACAAACCTATTTTCGTGCCAACTTTTATACATCAAAACTAAATATGTTGTTAGGATATTAACTATAGTTACATTTGTATGCATTACTATTTATTAAAAATTTAGCCATCTAATATTTATAGACAGTTGGATTAATAAAAATGTATTACATTTTCAAGTGAATTTTATTTATAATGTCAGATATTTGAATTTTGAAGTCGACAATATGGAGATATTTTATCTAAATATCCCGAATCCGAACGTAAAAAATATATATATATATATATATGCAAATATATTTAGGATTTAACTATAGTTACATTTTGTATGCAACATTACTATTTTTAAAAATTTAGGCCATCTAATATTTATAGACAGGTTGGATAATAAAAATGTATTTACATGTTTCAAGTGAATTTTTATTTATAATGTCAGATATTTGATTTTGAAGTGAAAATATGGAGATATTTTATCTAAATATCCCGAATCCGAACGTAAAAAATATATATATCTATATATATGCAAATAATTATATATATATATATATATATATATATATATATAATATATATATATATATAAATAAGACTAGATATAAATAAGAACTAGCTACTTCAAATATGTGTGCATGTAAGTAATTCGTTGAGGGAGAAAAATAGGCTATGCAAGACGCTATTTGGTATTACTATGTTTCACAAATTAACTTTTCTACTGTCAAAAGGAAACTGATTATTTAAATTGAAGTCGACCGAATTCTATTATATCATTAAAAACTAGAAGATAGAAATTATTAATATATGAAATAATTAAAATTTTTTAGCAGTAATTAGAGAAGGATTAATTGTCAGATTGTGCTTCGATTTCCATTTTTCAACTAATAAACAAATTGAAAAAACTTCACAGCTGGACTAATTCCATCCATTAATTTTCCTCCTATAGGCTATAGCGGTTGCCAGTTAATAAATGAAGGGATGGAAAAAGTAGAAAAAATTTTAATTATCAGAATTGAAGATATGTATGGCTTTAATATAGGACATTTGGACTTTAGCTAAGCCAAACATTTTAGTCAATAAATATATACAGACACTAATAATTAATTAAAATTGTAGCACGGACAAAAATTATATTCTTGATAGGCACGCTGAATGATTTTTAAAAATTTAAAATCAAAAAAACACTTATAGAGAGAGAGAGGCAGCTACGAACCCAAAATGAGAAGTCTCATATACATAGGGTATAGTAATACCAAAAAAAATTAAATTGTGATTTCCCTCTTACTTGCTATACTACATGGTTTTCTTTTCACCTGATAGCATATTGGTTAATCCTTTCCAGCGTTCATTTTATATACTCAGCCAACCCAGCCCGGATGTCGATTCGATCAAATGACTAGGTGGGTGATTCACTGGTTTAACTGGTGGATCAGTGGTTCAATCGGCGGCATAAGATATTAATATAATTATAATTATAATTATAATTCTCAATAAACCAAACTGGTGGATCAGTGGTCCAATGCATAGGTTTTCCAGATCAAAACCATAGATCCGATTTGAGTTTAATAACTTATTATTCGGTTGATAATTGAACTAAATTTTCATACCAAAAACCTATAAAATATTAATCGAGCCGAACGCATTTTAATAGAAAAACAAATATAATCAAGACTGATATTTTGATTTGGAGTTTGGTTATTAATTATAATGGATAAATATAAATAGATATATAATTTATAAATTAAATATCATTAGTTAATTTTATAAATATGTTATTAATAATATATTTATAATGATATATTTCTATACTAAAAGTACTCTAAAATATTTATTAGTGATAAAAATATATTAAAAACAGTTTATTTTTAATATAATTATGTTTTATATATTGATTAATAAAAAAATTAATTAACTTGTTCTAGCTCAGTTGGCAAAGCAGGCTAAATATTTGAAAAAAGTTCTCAGGTTCAATTCCTACTAAACGCATGTGCAAAAAAGGGTGAAGAGCTTTTAACTGTAACTAAGACCCAGATCAGGGTGGTCCCTGGAAATAGAGTCCAAGTACCGGTGGCTTACACCAAAAAATAAAGAATAAATTAAATTGAGTTTTTGATTATAGCCAAGGGAATGACTTAGCACTCTTGATACATGGAGTATGTATACATCAAACCAATAAAATAAAAGTTTTTAAACTAAACGAGGTTATTAGTTTTGGTTATTCAAAAAAAAAAAAAAAAAAAAAAAAAGTATAATTTGTGATAATAATTTCTAATGTGACTTTTATTAAATTTAAATGTACAACTGTGTTCATACGTGAATATATATATATATATATATATATATATTATGTTAACCACTAATGGTAGTGCAACAATTCAATCCAGTCATTGGCTACATATCTTTATATATATGTTAACCAAATAATGGTAGTGCACATTCAATCCAGTCATTGGCTACATATCTTTACATTTACTAATCAATAAAATTTCATTTTGAATTATGGAAAAGAAAAAAAACATTAAAATACAATATTGAAACTTCAAACTTTATTTAAAAAGAAAAAGCCTAATTAAGAATTAAAGTCTATAATTATAATTCTTGCCGGTTCTTCTGTTCGTTTTCCTCATGGTTCTTCAGGTCTTATTCACCTAGAGTGGTTGAAGCTATGGCGGTGATGGAAGCTCTTAGTTGGCTCAAATAAGAACAATTCATCCATGTTGATTTGGTGATGGACTATATGTTAAAAATTTTAACGTGGGCTACTATTAATTGTGAGTTATTTTAGTTTGCGAAAATGAAATGAATAAATATATTTTAAAAATAATGTGTTTGAAGCTCAATTTGTGTTTGTGATTATTTATGTAATGAGCTTGTACACTTCTAGCCGGCCAGTATGATAAGACGGTTAAAAGTGTAGGCCTAATTCTGTAAGGACTTTTGATGGAAAAGTTCATAAGATTCTATATAAATAAGTTATGTCACCTCTTCTTTTTTAACCCTAATATTGGCTAGTCCCATTGAAAGCCGCCTTGTGATTAAGGAAACGGAGAGGAAGATCTAGTCTCTCTTTAATAAATTCTAATTCTAATTTCGTGTTAGAGTATGGATTGCAGTTAATCACAAAAGAAGAATCGTGAACTCTACTTTAAATTACAAATCATGTATGCAAATTGTTTATTCATTATTAATAGTTGGTGTTCTAAATTCACATACTAGATCTGCTAATTTTCTTACATTGTAGACAAGTTTGGTTGGGTATTATTTCTAATAATATTCCTAATAATGAGTATGGTAATATATTGGGAATTGTCAACTTTTGTTGAGTGAAGACATTGATTTTAAGTCTAAATGGATTCGCTGGCAAGCTAATATGGTGGCTCATTCCTTAGTTCAGATTGCTATTTCATTTGCCTTTCCCACAATTTGGAAAGATCCTCCTCATTTGTTAATGATGTTTTAGTATCTGATGTTTCTCATTTGCCGGGTTTTTTCACTTAGCATTGAGATCCTAGATTTGGGTGGAGCTATTAGTCTAGGTTAAAATGAATCTTTTTGCTAAGTTTTTCCTAGTTTTTATTGAAATTATAAGAAAAAAAAAAAAGTATTAAAGTCTATAATTGTTATCTCTGTATCTTTTCTTCAGCTAAAGTAGACCTGATCAAACTTCAAACTTAACTCTTTTTTTTTTTTTTTTTTATAAAACTTCGGACTTAACTTTAATAACATTCATAAAAACTTACTGATAATAACTTAACTTAGTTCTATTTACATCTCTAGAATTAGAAATATATATGTTGAAGAAAAAGAAAACTAAATTAGTAAAAAAATTGCAATAAACCAAAACGTCCAAACCCAAAGATGACAAAAGAATGTTGACATTTCAGGCAACTTATGTTGACATGCTCTTGTGTAACTTGCGATATATATATATATGCACACACACATAAAGACATAAGAAAAATATAATGCTGCCCTCTATTTGGATCGGTTTCCTTGAAGTTGAGATTGCTAGCTAATAAGATTTCGATTGGAAAGAAGCATCTCTGCCAAGAAAATGGCAGTGATTGTAATTGATGAAGCAAAAGAAACACACAAAGGAAATGAATTTCCTTACTCTGTGTATCCAAATTGCTTTTTCAAGAAATGATTGGTTAGTTGCAGCTTTCTTCCTTCCACAAAATCAGTTACTTTAATTCTATTATTGATTACATATGGTGAATTCTAATTGTTATTATCATTTTTGATGTGCATGCAATTGTTGCTTTTGGTTTGTTAGGTTTTAATTAGGGTTTAACTCCTTATAATATAATTTTTCGAAACCATTTTAGTATCGCATAATTAACATTCATTAATTTAGTGTGCAATTATAATGAACATTACGGTTATTTTTCTGATTTAGTTGAATGAAAGTGATTCATATTCATATAAAATTATAAATGAACTGAATAGAGTTGGGTTTTATTGAGTTCAAGCTGGACTTATTAAAAATATAATCGA